GCAGTCACAGTGAAACACTCTAAGCCAAAGAAGAAGAATAAAAACCACACCTGCTTATTGTCTGCGGTAGCTGCCAGCTGTGGGCCCCTCACACACACCTCTGTATGCCTGCCTGGCAGCAGCCCTTTGATCAGGTAATTGCCCCTCCGGCCCCCGGTGTTTGCATCCACCATATGTCGCTATGGCGACCACCTCTCCAGCATCCATCCGTGCGCCCCCTTCACAGCCATTTTTAAGATGGACTTATATGTTATGAGGCTGTGAGTGATGGAGGAAAAGGGCAGAGAAAATGCTCTACGAGAAGCACCTCGACCACGTCAACAGCAACCTTTTCATGACGTGTGTGGGGATGAGAGTGTGTGGGGGGGGGGGGTGTTGGGGGTTCTATCTGACTGTCTGTCTGTTATCCCGCACCCACCCACCACATCTGAGACCCCCCCCCCCCACCCCTGGAATTCTTTTTTTTTTCAAACTGTAATAAGGATTGTCTTTGTTTCACATCAGCCCCGAGATAGAAGCAGATCCACACATGCATGATATGAGAGGATCAGACTGCAGGTGGAGCTCAGGGGAAACACTTTGGGGGCTCAGGATGCTGTTTGAAGACACTTTGAGGAGGGTGACACATTTTCTGTTGCAGGGGATGCAATCCTGTGAAGACTTTAAGACAAGAACTAAAGTCCCACTGTGATTAATTTAAATTCATAAGTACTACGTATTAACCCCTTAACATGGAGATTAAAGTTTTATTGAGACACTATCAAATGATCTAAACTTTCCATACACCTTTCCATCCAATTTAAATATTCTAGCTGTATTGACACTTTTCCCTGACATATTTGGTATCTTCTGACAATAAAGTTGTGTGGTTTAAACAATGCTTATGGCTTTGACTTTGTTACCATCCTAGGTCAATATGGTTGAAGAGGTTATTTAGACACACAGAGAGAAAAACAAATCTAATCCACCGGAAGCAACACAGTCACATACTCCACTTGACAGCTTCCATTGCAAAAAAGTGTCACATTGTGAGCCAGATGTTCAATGCCATCATTTCCATGCACATCCATAAGTAGTTTGCAGGTGCTGAGTGACAGTTATCTGCACTGAAAGAAGAAAAATCCTGAAAAATCCTACAAGATTAAGGAACAAGACAATGTTGCAGGAGATTTTTCAGATGTCAATGCAGATGTTTAATGAGAATATATACGGAATTGTGCCCTGGATAAGAGCTTGAGCTAAATGCTGTAAATGCGTCTGCTGAGTGCTCAGTTGGATCCTTAATTTCTCTTTTTCTAATATACAATATTAAAGTGTTTGAGCATGTGGAGTAAAATACAATAGGAGGCGGGCTGCAACATTTTTTTTCATTATCTATAAATGTCTTTATTATTGAAATTATTTTTGGCTATAAAATATTAGAAAATAATGAAAAATACTCATCACAATTTTCAAGAGCCCAGGGTGACGTCAGCACCCTGACGTCTCCTGTTGTCTGACCAGTAGTCCCAAATCTCTATTTACACTGATATAAAACAAAGAAAATACTTTTTGCTTCTTAAATGAATAATCGATTATTAAAATTGTTATCGGCTACAGGAGATGTACCCTATACCTCCACTCTCTTCCCCCTTAGTGCACCACTCATTTTGGAAACCATATCATTTGCATAATTTTAAAACACGTAAATCTGTACATAAAGTGTTTAAATCATGACTTCTGAAAAGTGATGAAAAAGTGTTTCTTTATTGAACATTACAGAACAGGATGAGGAACACGGAGCTTTCAATCAAACGATCACAGCTTTATATACGGACATCTCTGGGAGTATTTCAGCACTGATAACGATGGTGATGATCAACAGTAATCATTGTGAGCCCTCTTCTCTGTTTTATCATCATTCTGTCTTCACAACAATGTCTTTTATAGGCTGTTTGTGTTTAGGGCTGCTCCTCTTTTCGACGACCGTCACGGTCTGCAGAAATGACACTTGATTATTTTCTTGAAAGCGCTCTGAAAGTCTTTGTTGAAGTACGCGTAAATGATGGGGTTGAGTAAAGAGTTGGAGTAACCCAGCCAGTTAATGACATCCTCCAGCCAGCGGGGCATGTAGCACGACCCCTGGCAAAAAGGCATGACCAGGGCCACGATGAAGAAGGGCAGCCAGCAGAGGATGAAGGTGCCCATGATGATCCCCAGAGTCTTCACCGTTTTCCGTTCCCGGGCCATCGCGATCTTCCTCTTCGCCTCCGTCGCCTTCTCGTGCCTGTTCTCGAACAGCGGCACGGAGCTCGGGGTGTTGGGCAGCGGCAGGTTGCCTCTGAAGTTGCTGTGAACTTCGATGATCTCCAGGGACTCGCCGTCCTCCGCGTGTTTCACCGCGCCGTTGACGCTTGGCAGCGGCCGGGGCTCTACGCTCCTTTTCCAGCTCTTGCCCTGCGCGTCGCCGGTAGTCTTTTTGTGGAACAGGGCGGGGGACAGCGCCAAGCAGGAGTCGGACACTTTCTTTTTCTCCGTTTTACGCACCGTCCTCCTGATCCGAAACCTGGCAGCTTTGAATATCCGCCCGTATAATACCAGCATTAGCGTCAGCGGGATGTAAAAAGCCCCGAAAGTTGAGTATATTGTGTACCAGGGGTCTTGCCTGATCTTACACTGCTTGGGGTTCGCCCTGTCCTCTGCCATGCTGCTGGGCTGGGAGCGCATGATCAACATCGGCGGCACCGAAATGGAGAATCCGACGAGCCAGGTGACACTGATGAGGACCGCGGCTCTCCGCGGCGTCCTCTTCTTCATGTACTCTATAGGCTCGGTTATTGCCCAGTATCTGTCCAGAGCGATGGCGCACAGGTGCAGGATGGACGACGTGCAGCACAACACGTCCAGAGAGATGAAGATGTCGCACGGAATCTGTCCAAGAGTCCACCGGTTCAACACCTGGTAAAGCGCCGCCATGGGCAGCACCAGCACCGACACCATCAGGTCAGTGACAGCCAGAGAGCCGATCAGGTAGTTGGCCACGTTCTGTAGAGACCGCTCCAAGGCGATGGCCGCAACGACGCACGCGTTCCCAAACACTGCGCACAGAATGAGTGCGCCAAGCAGGAATGATATGACCACTTGGTAACTCAGCTTCACCTCCTCGTCTTCGGGTTTGGGGGTTTTGTTGGAAGAGTTGTCAAACTGAGACCAGGCTGTCGTGTTGTTTGTGCCCTCCATTGTCGAAGTGTTGGGAGAGCGTCCGTTACTTGATGGAGAGCCTGGTGCGCATCACACCGTCCCACCTTGAAGAGCGCATAGTGGACTGTCTCGTGTAGCAGAGAGAGTCTGAACTGCGAGTCCCGGCTGCTGACGGAGAATGATGCTGCGTATGTATACCAGTGATGGAAAATGCGTCATGTGTCTGTGAGCATGTAACGGAGTGGGCTGTTTGTGTCTGTTTAGTCGGCGTCTGAGTCAGTGAAGATGTTGGAGTTATTGTATAGACATGAAAAAACTTAAATATTTTCTATTTTATTTTTTATTTATTCATTTATTTATCTATGTCGCTCTTCAGGCTGCAAGTCAAATCAATATGCCGATTTCTTTTTTAAGAATTTAATTTTCTTGAAACAAGTGGATTTTGCCATTTCGGTGAGAAAATAAGCTTTAAGAACATGTCCTTTGTGTCAGATAACACGTTTTGAATCTTGTTTTATTGATGAAGAAATAAAGAAAGAATAAAGAATAAATGACACTGCACTGTAAACAAACTTGTATTTGCTTTGACAACAACAAGAACAACTTTGTAGTCTTATGTTATGTTATTATTCTCCTCAGTTTGCTTTTGTCCCTGTCTTACTTTGTATCATTTATTGAGTCGTATATGTGTTGTAATTGTCTGCACTTGTTTTTTACTGACTTTTCTACACAATGATAAAAAAAGTAATTGAAATTATGTGGAGTGAGAAAAACAACAACAACAACAACAACTAAAATAATAATAATGATAATACATAAATGTGAGTATCGAATTTTTGTGGAATTCACTTTTTTCCTATCTGCAGAATCATCATTTTTTTTATTAAAAACATAATAATTGAATAGAGTTTTCCTTGTTAGCAGATAATATAAGATATTTTCAAATCTCAAATTTTTCTGACAGTAATAATTTTAATTTTGTATAAAAGAAGTGAAGCGTTATTCTCGGCTGTTTTCAGCACCATGGTCAGCGCTCTGGGACCGCCAGGTGTGACACTGCCACCTGGCGTTGGTACACTTTCATAACAGTTACAAAATGGTGACGCAATCCTTTATTAGTTTAGGTGACACTAACATTGTTAAAAAATATACAGACATACAAAGACGGAGCATTATGTCAAATTATTCATTGCAAAACGCTACAACACATACACATTTGAGAAAAGTGGCAAGGTGATGGAATATTTTAATGAAATAAAAGCAAAGGTTACAAACCAGCTTCTCCTTTCTGTTTTAAACTATCAGATGCATTCTCAGCTTTTCTTTTTCGACAATGTATGTATTGGTAAAGTATGGCAGTTACACTTAAACTATCATGTGGAATCTATTAACATAGCCTACTTTTAAAAGCCCCACGATTTTCTGGTTCATCATGGCTGGATTAACAGTGAGTCGGCTCCGGGGCAAAAAAAAAAGAAAGTGCTTGTTGTGCCTCCAGCACTGCCCACTCTCACACACTCACTGCATTGTAAATGTACCATGTCGTCTACAAGTTATCATTAAGTACAGCGCAGCCTAATGCGGCCTAATGCGGTACAAGCCAATTAATATTGCTGTTTAGTTATTTACATTCCTACAAATTTAGTCCAGTAAAGCAAAGTTGTATTTTCTCTCTGTGTTTCGTTTCTTATCTCTTTCTCTTGTCTCTCCTGCAATCATTAAGAACTAAACCCTTAAGCTTTTAAAACTGACAGGCGCCTCATTTTTGGTCTATTAGACTTCCCGTAGAGTCCCACTCTACGTGACGTCACAGCCTCGCTTAAAGCGGAAAGGCTGCTTTAACTTTCTTATTTTTGAGCACCGGTTTGCTTCGTTTCCACGACATGAAAAGTCTTCACATCTCTCAGGTAGGCGACTACGTGTAACGAAAGTATTCACACGCTGAGCGACATTATCTTAAGAACGTTATTTTCCCCGACAACGCCACAGGAGAGTCTGTTGAGGTCTGTTGTGCTAAGTTAGCAAGACATTGTTTTGATGGTGGTTAGCTGTTAGAAGACTACGAGAGTACTTTTGCTGTTGTAGTTCGAACACTTTGAGAGAGAAATACTGTCAAACCTGCTACAGAAGCAACACCTGAACACTGAAACACGTTATTTTCACATTGGAGGGTCAACTATCTTCAGAGCACTGCACCAAACATTTGACTTTCAAGGCTACTTTTGGTTTGGGGCTGTTATTCACGGTTTGAGCCCCTTAGTTACAGCATACCATAATATGTAATAGACAGCTTTGGTTAGCAGTTTCAATATGATAGTGGCTGTTTAGTGTGAAGACCTTAACTGGCCTGCACAGAGCCCTGAACTAACCCTCACCTGTGTGATGAACTGGAACACTGACTATGACCCAGACCTTATCTCCTCTTATCACATCATATGGATTCAATGTTCAGGTGTCCACAGCATTGTTTTTATTGAGTATATCTCATTAATTGCATTTACCCAACAGGGTTTTTTTTTCTTCTTCTCTTTGATTCTCTCTAAAAATAGCCAAATCAATACAAACGTTGGCCCACAAGGTGCAGCGTCATGTTACGTCGAATGTAAATAACTGGCTCACTGCTAAAGTGTCTCTTATTATTTCTGTGTAATGCAACAGCGGTCTGTATTTAAACATGTTGGACTTAGTTTGTCGTGGCCGCGTTCATGCTACACGCTGAAGCATATGCAAAGCAAAGCCAAGAGCATCTGATGGATGTCTGCTGAGCCTCCAGTACAATGAAGAACAGATCAGGAGTTTTCTGTGCTTTCTCAAAATCAAGTTAATACGCCCTAAACTTTGAGTGCTTTTTGTCAGAGTGAATGTTAGTGCAGGTGTGAAGTGTGTTTCTCATCCTCATCAACAGCTTGACTGAAAACTCAACAGCCTGAAGAGAGAGAGCCATGCTCCGTTGCAAGAGGTGTCGCAAAGGCGTCGTAGACTCAACATGTTTGTCAACGGTTGGTGAGAAGTTTGTGTATCTGATGTGTTCAGCAATTGTTTGCTTCTGAGGAATTTATGAATCTGTTTGTCATAGTTACAGCCAGTGCTGAAACAATTAGTTGATTAATCAGTTTGCCAGTCACCAGGAAATTCATCACCAATGATTTTAACAGTTGTTTTGACACGTTTTACAAGCAAGAATGTCACATTTCCTGTGTTTTAATCTTCTTAAATGTGAGGATGTTGTGCTTTTCTCTGTTTTTATGTCATTGCAAATTGAACAGCCCATCTAAATGGCGATGCCATTTTTTCTCTATGATCTCATGTTTTAATAGACTAAATGCTTCATCAATAAATCACCCTCCTAATTAAGAGTGTTGATGGATTTCATTCATCATCAGTTGTAGCCCTAATCATAGCGAATGGTCTATAAAGTTGTTAGGGGACATCGGGGGGTTGGGAAAAGCCAAAGACAACAGCTTGTGTTTCAGTCATAAAAAAAGATGGCTGGCTATATCAGCGTCGGAGAAGCGGGGTCTGATGGGAGCCGTTCTCGCTGATTGTGTGTCCTTCATGTGGAGGCAGGTGGAGGCCACAGATGAAAGCTCAGCTGCTGTCTGCAGCATTTGGCACGTGAACGTTGACACACTGCCAGAGTGGATCCTGACCTCAGTTCATCAGGTAAGAGTCGCAGCTCAGCAATAAGGTGTGCACAGTGCACACGGTTCTTTAAGACCGAATGATTGTGTTCACTGCCACGAGAGGAAGGGAGGAGAGAGATATATATATATATATATATATATAAAATAGTGCTGTGTATTGGCAGTAATCTGGCAATACGATACGTATTACCCACGATACAGGGGTTATGATTCTATATATTGCAATACTGTAAGCAAGGCAAGATATTGCACATATGTTAGGGTTTTAGGAAAAATGTCAAATTATAAAGAACGCAGCGCTATATGCTAAAGTCTGAGAGTAGGATCTGCATTTGCATTTATCACATTCATTGTAACGTCCAACATCATAGCACTACCCTTTGTGCATCTGAACCCTTGTGTGCCCCGAATCTTCACTTGAAGAGCAAGTAGTGTTTTTGAGAATGGATGAACAGATACAGTATCACAAAACATAATATTGCGATACCTCAAGTGTATTGATATTTTCTTACACACCTGATATTTTAGTTTTTCATGTTTCGTTACCACTCCCTGTGCGTTATTACTTATCTTTTACATCTTGCAGCTTCAATCTCACAGGTGCCTGCATGGCCAAACTTGTTTCCCCTAGTTTTATACAATAAAATATAACAGATTTTATTGTTGCTGAAATAGTCTACTTATTTATTGGTAAATCCGGGTTAATTGAATTGACTGGCAGAAATGCTAAATATTTTCTTTTTTAGCTTCTAAAATGTGAGGATTTGCAGCTTTTTATATGTTGTAAAGTGAATGTTTTGGGGTTTTGGACTGTTTAGGCGACCAGATAAGCAAAGTGAAGAGGTCACCGTGGGCATTTTTCAGTATTTTTGTTTTTTTATAATGAAAAAATAATCAAGTTGAATTGAGAAGGGAAAAAAAAAAACGTTATCCTATTATTAAAAAATAGTCAAATGGATTGGAATCGATTTCAAGATGTTGCTTTCTATACCTGGTTTCTGCCTAGGCTCAGTGGACTGTAGGAAAACTGAACTGCCAGAACTGCGGCGCTCGTTTGGGAGGCTTCAACTTCATTAACCACAGCGAGTGTCCCTGTGGCCGGGACGCCAGCGTCCACCTCAACAAGAGCCGCGTGGACCGCGACCACAAACGCTGCGTTCTTATCGTCCAGCCGAGGAGGACGAGGCCTGAGACGGAGCGCACTGGTCTGCTGACGGACGGCTCTCAGAACAGAGAGCAGAGGCCTGAACTTAACAGGACCGCGCTGGACAGCTTACAGCTCAACTGCGCTGCGGTCATGTCCCACATAAGTGCCGCTGAGGCCTCTAACTCACTGACTGAGGGTGAAAACACCCAGTCATTTTCTTTCAGCCCTCTGTACTGCATCTCTCACAGGAGACGGTGCAGTTTGGAGGACGATTCCGCCATCAGGTCGTCATGCTTTTGCCCCGCAGGCCTGACAGTCAAGTCCGCTGTTGAGAGTGCAATGACGGGAACGCACGAGTCTACGGAGTCGCCCGTCTCGTATCCCACAAGTCAGCAGTTCGACACTGATGGTGACGCCCCGATCAACGCGGTCGCCCGCCGCTCGTTTATTTCCGGAAGGCCGTGGTCACCGCTGGATCGACCGCTGCTGCAAACTGTGGAGGACGTGGAGTCTTCTCCAGAGGCCGCGGCTGCCCACCAGGAGGTTCCTGTTTCAGCCCTGTTCCACAGAGGGAGGTCCGTCTCTGACAGTGTGGCCGAGCAGGACCAGGACGTGGTGGTATGTTGCTGGAATATAAAATAATCTGCTTTAATTAGGACTGAAGCTAATTATTGATTTTTCCCAAGAATGTGGCCGCGGACACCTAGTTCATAAAACTGCAAATGCAATGGCTTAAATCAGTGGACCATAGGCTCAATGACCATTGTGTTACCTTGTTCGGAGATAGATGGGGACTTAACAGACATTTAAATGATAATCTTCAAGATAATTACTTTAAGACTATTGTTTCATGTTGTTGGTAACTGTGGTTGTCATCCGTAGAGGTGGACTGAAACTGCATCTTTTGAACAATAAACTGTCCGCCACTTGTTTCATTTCAGCAAGTGAAATTACAATTAATGTGCCCCGTGGATTCTGTTTGATCAGGACTCTTGATATGTGTGTTCGTTCTTTTCTCAGCCTCGAGGCTTCATGGCCTCCGCAGCCTCAAACAGACTGAGCAAAAGGGAGAAGAACCGTCTGAAGAGTCTCCGGAGGAAGCAGAGGAGGAGAGAGCGATGGCTGCACAGCCAGCTGGAGCAGGTGAGGGAGCCGGGATAACACTGTGGGTCTAATTCTAATTTACTACCGCTGAGCAAGAAATGTAATCACAGCTCCTTTAAAGACTGATGCAACAAACAAAAAAGCCTTGAAAGTTATTGAATGTTGTTAGAAAGTTTCAGTGTTTCTCAGAAGACGTAAAAAGGTACAGAGGAAGCCGCTCTATAAACATGCATCTAATTAGTTTAAAATATATTAACTGACATACAGGATGAACGTCAAATGACAAGTTGTAGAAAATCATCAACGGAAAGTGTGGGGAAAAACATAAATACTATCGGAATCAACATCACAGCATTGGTGAGATACTTAGTTTAGATTATTGGATCGGGGTTGTTGTTGTTGAAGGTGTGTGCGTGTGTGTGTGTGTGTGTGTGTGTGTGTGTGTGTGTGTGTGTGTGTGTGTGTGTGTGTGTGTGTGTGTGTGTCCAGGCCGAGAGTGCGAGCGCTCCACTGTTGGACAGTGAGGAGGAGGACAGAGAGGGCCTCACCTGCGCCGTCTGTCTGGAGCTCTACTTCAGCCCGTACAGCTGTCAGCCCTGCGGCCACATCTTCTGCGAGCCGTGTCTCCGCACCATCGCCAAGAACCGGCCGACCAACACGCCCTGCCCTCTCTGCCGCACCCTCATATCACACACCACCTTCCACAAAGGCAGGCTTCTTCCAGGACTCATGCACCAAAACTAAATACTGGAGTATCTAACATACTGACCTTCTCCTATGTGAGACCAGAGTTCATTGAAACAACTATTTTAATTTATAAAAATGTATAATAGTTGTCTGACTGGGCAGACTGGTGACCTGTAGGTGCACACCTGCTTACCCTGCACAGGATAAATGGGTAGAGATAATGTGTGGTTAAAACAATATTCATCCCATTTATCGTTAGTCGCAGCCCCGCCCTTGATAGCAATGCCCCACATTACAGTAATGAGGAATAATGGCCTTAAATAAAGTGACTCTGATAGTGACTGTACATGCTGTTCTCATGCCTCCTCAGAGCTCAACCAAACAGCCGAGACCTTCTTCCCGAAAGTGTACGACGCCCGCAAGCAGAACTTCCAGAATGCTTCGTGTGCAAAATGGTCTCTGCCCAGCTGTCGCAAACGCTTCCACATCTTCTGGGGTGAGAAAGAGTTTGTCGCAGTTGTGTCAGCATTTTAGTTTTCTTTTGTCGAGAAAGTAGTACTATTGCTTTGATAGAGTAACAATGATGCTGTTTCTGAGAAGAGATGGTTCAGTTTAACTTCAGATTTTTCCGGTCCGGTCCGCTTAAACCAGTTTGATTTTAAAGCAAGCCTTCATCAGCAGCCTGTGCCGACGTCACCACACTAAATCAAACTTGTATTGCATTAGTAATAAGCAATATGACAATGTGATTAACACAATATTATATTTGTTTATTATAAGGGAGTCTCTAGTGTCTAACTCAACCGTGAGTAATTTAGTGAGCTGAGGCCGGCAGCATGAAGGAGATCAAATCTCAGTCGTGTTGGCCCCCATTATTTTCTATGTACAACGCCCAAACTGGTGACGGCTAGGTGTTTGCCGGGGCTCATGGATGTACCATCTCATGCCACTTCACACCGCTGTCCTATTTCCAGTCTCAAGGAAAACGCCAATATGGCAGCATTTTAGATTTGAGGCGAGGGGTGTTCTGGGATTGGGCTCTCCCAGTCATATTATGTTCCACTCGAGAGCAGATGCTGAGTCAAGTGCAACACCTTGTGGTGGAATTTGATTTGGCTTATTATTGAACCGTTTTTACAGCTGCCCGACCCTAATGTTAAACTACATGAGAGAGTGTTAGAATGTGGTTTGATTAACCAGCATAGCCCTCAAAGTTGACCCATATTGGATGACTGCCCCTCCTAAAGACGCAGATATCTTCTTAAAAAAAAACACGTATGGTTTTCTGATCATCGGAAAGCTAACAACCTAGGTTCTAACGCGCTCTCGTCTAGGTTAACATGAAGGAAAAAACCTGTTGATCTCGAAAGGGGTGAGGTCAAAAAGTGATTGAGTTCTGATGGAATGCCCCTGACTGCATTTTCACCCTCTCCCTCTGCATTTTGACCTCTTTTTCTAAGAAAAGCAGAACTTTTATTGCTTTCCTCCTGCAATTTAGTGGCAATAATAAACGTTATCTTTACAGCAGTTGACAAGTCAATCCTACGAACGACTTCAACTGATGATAAAACAGCAGTTACACAAAGTCAGTGAGATTGTTGCATTGTGAACTCACTGGACTTGGTATGGAACAGGTTGTCATAGATATTATACACAACACTTCAAATGTGTTACAAGTATGAAATAATTTAAAATAACTACGGCACAATGAAAAACATCTCTCAAGAATTTTAGCCTCATAATCAATGAATATTAAGAGGAAATCATTTAATGAATTATTGTGTGATTTAAAAACTGCAATGTGGTGGAATGGTAATTTAATATGTCTAACTTCAGGAGAACAGAGACAGGCAGCGGCGGTGGGGAGGCGCTGGCACTTTGCTCAGGGAGGTTTCACGCTGGATGCTTTGGACTTCACCGACGTGCGCGGCTGGCTCTTCGTCATCGGCCTGGTCATCGTCTACATCCACTCAGTCAACTGGATCCTGGCGTTCCTCTTCCTCTGTTTCCTCATGTACTACTACTTCTGTTGAGACACCGAGGCGTGCTCGAGAGTTTAGAGAATAGTTTATCTTTTTTTTTTTTTTAAAGTCACCAGTTACTTTAGTGGTAAAGTATCACAGAAAGAGGAGACCTGGTTTTGACACGGAGCAGGAATCTGAACATTAGAGAGTTCTAAAAGTTTACAATATGCTAACCTTAAAGATCTGATGATGATTTAATCAGAGCTTCTTTTTGCCAGTGTTATGCAGCCATGGTGTAAGTGCAATATACGCTCTGAGGTGTTCTGATCCACAGAATTAATGGGTAAGTCTAGAGTTCAGACAAAAGGCCACGGCCTGAAGCAGAGTACTACTGTTAATTCCGTTACTTTGGACGTCATGCAGGAAAACATCTACAAATGTGTGCTGTGTGTTAGTGAAACCTTTGGTTTGTGGTAGAACTATTTGGTAATAGTGGTAGTGATGATCAGACAGAAAGAAAAACATGATTGATGCATGATGTAAAGTGGCACTTTTGTTCAAACAAGGAATATTTGAACATTTTAGTGAAATATGTTTGCTCCCTTCCTCTCAGAGAGGTACAAGATTGATACTGCTCTGTGTGTTAAGAACAGTGCAGGACCCGGGAGGTGATTAGCTTTAGCTTAGCATAAAGGCTGGAAGCAGGGGGAAGCAGCCTAGAAATAAATGGTATCGGCATGTAACAAAGGAATGCAACGAACGAGATACAATGTGTTCATCAGTGAGCTTCAGCAGTGTCAATGGGTGTATTTTAATCTTTAGCAGAGAGATGCCCTTCTCAGAAAGTTTTGCTTCTATATATGTACATTTTTTTTTTTTATTTACAAAGAAGAGGGATGCTCAGGAATCAAATATCCAACAAGTAACAGTTATTATGGATGTGAATGATTGATTGAGGGGCTGACAATGCTGGAGCAGCAAGAAGAGAAAGAAAATCGGATACACAAATGGATAAAATACCCATTTCAGTATGGTGCCTTTGCTCAGTCTGTGCCTTCTGTTAACAAGTAATATGAAACAGGAAGTGAGCACCTTTAAGTTTAAGCTGTCTGCTACAGGATACACTGTGTTCATGGAAAGCCAAAAAAAATGAATAAAGCATTCAGTGAACACTAATTGTGTCTGTTTTTGTAGGAGCAGTAGTGTAAATGAAAAAGGGGCTTTCTCCCAACACTGTTATTCTGAAATATTAATTTTGAGCAAAACACGAGCCTTTGTTCAAACAGCCACTGTAAAAGTCATCTGTGAATCACAAAACTCTTTTCATAGTTTTGGTTTTATGACACATTTACCAGATGGTTCAGTCTCTGCATTCTAGCAAAATGTTATTTCCAGCAGCTATAAAGATTCAGAGTCTGATTTATTGGCCAGGTATGCCTGCACACACAAGGAATCTGACTGTGTTTTTTCTAGTATTCCAAGTATCATTGTAGTTTGATGTTGAGGGACAGTGTGAACAGTAGCCTGATCAGCACCACAGAGGCCTGGACAGCTCCTCTTCAGGCTAACCAGGGTTAACGTGTCTCGGTGGGTTAAATACTGTATGCTATGCACAGTATCAAACATGTATGGTAGCCCATGAATATTAAGATTAACAATAATAATAGTCATCTAAAATGACATGGACTTAAATATCAAGATAACTAAATACTTAATTTATGAGATAACGAATAAAAATAAACAAAACAAGCATGGCCGTCCTTTGCTTCAGTATGTTTAGGTCTACGGCTAGATATTTTTCTCAGGAGTTTGGGTGACACAAACATGATGGTATGATAATGTTCTGCATCTGCCAGATGTGTGTAGATGATTGTAAATACAGAAAAAAAAAGTCTAGCAACTCTAACTATTGAATCTGTTCACTCCTCCAGTAGAACAATTATATTTAAGTTGAGGGAAAAATCATGTGACAAAGGGGAACTATTGCCATTTTTCAAAATCCGTACATGTTAGTCATATGGTCTAGGTCAGGACAAACCAGAAATATTACGAAACAAACCATCTAAAAAAAAAACAAAAAAATATAATGTCATCAAGTAGCCTAAGTGTGGAACCGCTCCAAAGACGATGCTTGTAGAAAGACATTATGCATGACACTGAGCACCCAGGGGAATCATCTGAGTATAGGGTACTCTTCCTGTTCCACAACAATAGAATAAAGCTCATTCTGGTATAAAGAAGAGAAAACATAATCAGCCTCCCATTCATTGTCTATATGAGAGAGAGATAGTCGCTCGTGTTACCAGATATGAATTAAACTTTTCTATAGAACTAACGTATGGGAATTCTTAATTTAGGTCGTGTTCCCCTTTAAGCTGTAAAAGCAGCCGTCTAATGCACTCAATGTCCTTCATCATTCAGTTTCAATATAGTATAACGTTAAATTATGTCACAGAGGAAATCCTGGCTCTGTTTTTTTATTTCCTGGATGCTCCTAAACAGTTAATCGTCAATCGGGAGGGTGACGACTTGTTTTGCTGTTGGCTCGTTCTGAATCCTCCTCACACGTGAGCACGCGGCGGAAGACTGAGGAGCCTCCCTCTCGGCCTTCAGGAGGGGCTGAAGGTGACTCTCCTCTCGGCTGGGATGCAGAGCGAGCTGCTGGGGGTCCGTCCGGCCCGCTACACGGTCCTGCTCCGGGAATAACCACACGCACGCACTGCACGCACACTTGCGGGGAGGGCCTTTGAGCATTAACCAAATCCCGCGACTCTGCTGCTTCCGAGCGGGTATACATTCCTTCTTTATAGAGGACACGGCAGCTATCAGAACAGAGGGGGGGGGGGCTTCTCTCTACCTCTCCTTCTCTCTCTCTTTCTCTCTCTCTCTCTTTCTCTGTGTGACTGCGTCTGGCTGAGCTCCGGTGGTGGGTGTGTGCATGCATGTGTTCTGCACCGTACGGGCGGAAAAAGCGCCCAAGATCTGCAGGGAGCATCTTCCCCACCAGCAAAGTGGCGCAGACGGAGCCGGAGCGCCGGGAGAGCGCGGAGGGGGCCGTGGACGGCAGCAGGATGGCGAGTACTGAAATCTCTTATCTGTTAACGGTTAGCAGGTGGTCCGTGTTAAGCGTATAGCGCTGCACCAGAGAACAGCTGCTTGTTATTTACCAGTAGCCGATTTTTGTAAATCATGCACAGGTGCAGAAGTGGCCCAAAAAGGACACAAAAACAACCGCATAGCATCCTTTTACTGCTAGGTTTCTATTCTTGCTTTCCTTTGAAGATGCTAAATTGTCGGTCTGTTCCGGTCTAAGCAGCAGTAGGTGGTGACGGTCTGTTTGTTCTCCAGACAGTGCAGGAATTCAACACCCTCGTCGCGCTGTACCGGGAGCAGGTCATATCCGTCGGGGAGATGTCAGCCGACTGTCCGTCTCTGCGGGTTCAGATGCACCACACGCGGTCCAAAGGTTGCTCCATGGCCCGGGCAGCGCACCAGGACCTCACCGTCATCTCTGTGTCAGGGTAAGAAGGAAACAATGGACGGTTGTTATGGGGGGGGGGGGGGGAAGCAGCAGATGTTTGCTCCCATCATTTTTATAAACACCTGTCCCTCAGTGTTTGTTTCAAAGCATGTTTTAATTAACCTCTTAAACCCAGATTTCCCCCTGAAACAATAATACAATAATGCATTTTATTATTAACAACGTTACAGAGTTAGACAACATTAAGCAAAAGAGATAATTTATACTAATGAGATAAAACAGGAAAAATATGAATGTAAAAAGTAGAATAAAAAAGAAATAGAAGCATGCAAAATAAGGCACAACACAGTTTGTTAATAAACCCTGCTGTGAGGTAACTTTGACAGAAGTTCACTCTGCAAGGTCATTTGTAATGAAACGAATGTGGGGGGGGGTGTTAAAAAACGTAAATCTGCTGCATGTTTTGGAACTTGGCCAGCTTGAATGTAAACACCACATCCCACTTCTCTGTCTGTCTGTTTGTATCTTTCTCTTGCTCCGTTTTCCTTTCCTCCCTTTTCCCCCTCTCTTCCTCCCACCCCTCCTCTACACGCTGCAGTCTGGAGGACGGAGAGATCCACCCCGAGATCTGTCGGCTCTTCATCCAGCTGCAGTGCTGCCTGGAGATGTTCATAACGGAGATGCTCAAGTCCATGTGCCTGCTGGGGGTGCTGCAGCTGCACAGAAAAAGTACCGTCTCAAACACATCACTACGTTACGATGCCACAAAAATACGAGAGTGATGACAATCCATAATGACACGTAATCAAATCACATCTAAATTCCAACACACGCAGATTGACAACATAACTTGGGGATTTGTGAAAATCACACAAGCACAGACTCATTCAGTATAACCACCTCCATGTGAGTCACATTGCTATAGTGAGGACTGTGCCTACAATCAATTTATTCTGTACATGGTTGGTGTCAATACTAGATGTCACTGGAAATATTTCCCCATCAAAAAGCCAGTAAAAATCTCTTTTATCCCCACCGGGGACTTGACAGTGGGATATATACACGTGTGAAGATTAAAGTGATTGATGGTGTATTCCATTTAGCTGCTTCAGTTTCAGGGTCCTTGCATTGTTCTTGCGGGCTCACTGTCACACTGGTTTGACTACAAATCTGATTACAAGTGGACCGCTCTATCTCCACTATCTTTATGCAAATAAACACATCATTTCCATTTGCAAAGACCAAATGAGTTGTTTTAAACCGGCGGGAGGCAGAAACGCACTTCTTCCCGTGCTTAATCCGCTGGAAATTAGAAGAAGAAGAAATCATAATAACACAGATTGGTTCTATTCTTTGGTGTTCTCCACGCAAACCAAATTGACCAATTGTCTCACTCTTAATATATCTCCATGGGCTTCTCGAAAATGTTCCGACTTTGTGGACAAAGCCATTGATTTGAGAACCAGCTGGAGATGAGAAAAGGAAAGAACAAAAGGAGAGCCGCGAGATATGTGTTCACATGCACTGTAAGGTGCCACTGGGACCCTTTCAATAGAACGGAGCCATTGTTAATGTTATTAGTAACACATGTACTCTTCCTGCTATGACAGGTCCAAATGTCTGCTGTGGAAAAAGGCCTGTTGTTACATTTATCATACGTTGAATTTATGTTTTACAAAGGAAAATATAACACCAATGACACAAGTAATTAATCGATTTAAAAGACTGGAAACAAATGCATTTAAAAAAAAGACCTAGTTGAAAAATAATATTATACATAAAAACTGAACACAGAAGAGCACACACACTTTTGTTTTGGAATGCTTTGAATGTGTTTGAGTTGCCTCAGTGCTGCTGTCTCTGTTCGGACCCAAAGGAACAGACTCAGACCCGAGGTTGGACTTCAGGGTGGATGAGAGCTCGGACGTTCCCATCCTGGATGACCGATCCTCCTCCCCCATCGATTTTCCTCATCAGCAGTGGCTGGTGGGAATGGATATTCAAAATATAGAGAGGTACACCGATTGCATCTGCTTTTTAAAAATGAATTCTTACGTTGTTTCACTGTATTTCTCTACTGCTGTGAATATACAATAATTCATCCAAACGGTAAAATAAGCCAAGTGTTTCTTTGTTTTCACAGAGACATGCGAGAGATGAGAAATCTACTCAGCAAACTCAGGGACACGATGCCATTGCCACTGAAAAACCAAGGTGTGTAATGCTTGTGATGGATGAAATCCATTGCATCATTAGTGTTGCAGTTGTGAATACCTTTAGTAACATGAAACCTTCCATAATTCTTTCTGAAGTTTACATACATAATCCCGAGTGATTAAGAACAGACGCATCAATGGAATGAGACTAAATAAGAACAATATAATACAAAAATATTATTATTTTCTTGAAAATGATTTAATTCAACAACATCTGCTCTCGGGGAGACTGTGGACACTGTGGTTGTTAAATTCTTGGAAAATAAGTGTTATAATTTTGGTTCAGTTTTTACTGGCCAGTGAAGTAGTAGATACAGCACTCATTTATCTTAAGAATTACTGGTTAAAGAAACCCTCTATGAGGAAATACACTGAGAACTAAAATCTGATGCAGTGGCTCCCAGCCTGGACCCTCAAAAGCAGTCGTGAGGTTATTCTATGGGGTTGTCATATGTTTATCAGGGTAGGAAATTATAAAGTTCTACACAAATTCAGGTTAACCATGACTTTGTTTTTATTGTGACAAACGATCATTTTACATCTTCAGGGCTCTGAAAATCATGAAAATCCACTTACTCACATTTTTTTGACGAGAGTTGATATCACTCATGTCTGTAAATATATGAATACAGCCAGCTACCTTAGCTTAGCATAAAGACTGGAAACAGAGAAGCCGCTAGCCTGGTTCATAGGAAACAAAATCCACCTCTAAGGCTTACCAATGATTATATCCCATTTGTTTAATCCGTTTACAAACCGAAATGTGAGTGCAACAAGCTGGATCTATATCTTGGCTGGATGACGTGAGGACAAAAGCACATCCGGACCTGTTTACATTTCGGGTTTTGTCCGGAATGTGTTAATCAGAGGTGCTGGTAGGTGGAGTCTTCCATCCTATGGACAGAACCAGGCTGTTTCACCCTGCTTCCAGTCTTTATGTAAAAATACAAATTATAAACAAGGCAACAAATTATTATAATATATACGTACATAACTGCTAACTACCCCACGTCTCCTGACTTTGTCTCTTTGTAATCGGTCGTCATCATGTCAACCTGCTCTGTGTTCCTTTGTTCCAGACGACAGCAGCTTGTTGAATCTGACTCCACACCCGCTGATCAGACAGAGGAAGAGACGCTTCCCTGGGCTGTGCTGCATGGTGTCCGGCTGAGCGCCTGAAGGCAGCACGACAGGCAACACATAAATAAGAGATTCATTCATCTTATTTCATTCTATTATTTTATTTAGTTAGAGTATTTTCCCCCATAATATCTGAAATTGTAATCTTGTAGTAACTGTTATCTAATTCTATGACATTTGTCTTTTTCATCTTGATGGTAACTTTTTTTTTAGCTGGTCGGTCATTCGAGTCTCGCGTTCTGCGACTCAGCTCTTTCCGGTTCGGTCCGTTTAGTGGCATAGAATTTCGGACTTATATCTAGTTTGGATTTGGTTATTTTCAAATGTATTTTATTCATAAATATCCCGAGTAGATGGTTCATATATACGATCCCCAGTGGAGAGGGGGAAATAGTGAAGCCAAAGTGTTGCATTAGCCTCGCGAGCTGACTGTCAGTAATGGATCAAATGCATCAAAAATATAGTACTGTGCAGAACTCTATTTTGTTTACTGGTTCTTTTTCAGGAGAGTCATCTTTGCATTTTCTTTCTTTTTCCTTCTAACTTATGCAGCCATTCCAACTTATTGTTTTCTGCCATTTTTTATTATGGAAGAATAAAAATGTACATATTCAGGCTATGCACTGGCATTTCTGGTTTTCAGCTGTCTCACTGTGCTTGCGTCACACCTCCATGTTTGAATGTGTCACAATGTGACATGCTTTAGTCCCAACGACCTCCTGATGTAATTCAACTGATCATCATTCAGTAGAGGCTCTTGCCAGGTGAGTCTCTACTTGCCTGTGTGGGGTGAAACCCCGTTGACAAAGCAATTCATATACAGTGTCATGATGCGTGCACTTAATTGGCTCCTATAATTATTGCTTTTCTTTTTTCTATAAAAAAAAAAGATTTTTAATTAATCCAACAGTAGGTGTGTAAAAATAAACGTTATGCCAAAAAAAGCTTATAGATAATCTAAGCGTCAGCCTTTCAGCAGCGACGATGATGTGTAATGATGTTGGTCAGTTAGTCGTTCCAATATCAACAGAGCATTAGAGTCAATCTGAGGGAGGAAAGACAAAAAAAATGTTGTAAATTATGAGATGTTTCTTTTAATGCTCCATCATAGTAAACATGTGAGGGCATCTAATCTAATTTACCCAATCACAACACATACTGTATGTTCTCAAAATGAAATCTCTTTCTTTGACTTTAGTATCATATAATCAATACTTTTCCTTGTGAAATTGCTTTATAATTGTAATATTTTGTTTACTCTAATACTTGTGAAAAAATGCTGAATCATCAGTATGTTGTTCATTCTGCCCAACACTTTAAAAGTTCTCCATACGACATTCCGACCATAGATATAGCCGCAAACAATAATTTGCTATGTAAAGCTATAATGGATTATGTCTACCTGAGCAGAGAATGAAGTCACTCCCCCTGTGTGTGTGTGTGTGTGTGTGTGTGTGTGTGTGTGTGTGTGTGTGTTTGTAATGCGAGCTTCTCTGTGCTTTGTTGACATAGCCGGACCAGCCGCCCGTGCCTTGTCGTGCTTGTGAGCGTGCCCCACTGGCTAGCTAGTTGCCGCAGCTCTGCACTGCACTCATACAGCGGTTTCAGCTGCTAACCTCCGGTCCCCCCTCAGATAAACACTGTTATCCCTGTCAGCACTGTTACCACTGTTTGCACCGTTAGCTGCGAGCCACCGGCTCAGCCGGAGTCATGTTGAGAGCCGTTGAGAGGCAATAGATATGCTCTGAAGTTCGCATTTAGCGCCTTTAATATTTCACTAGCAGGGCTTTTAGTCTTGTTGTACACGAATGTCCAGCATGTCATTAGCAGTATTCCCTGATTTTTTTTTTAACTTTCAGCTTAAGCTTTCCTTCGCAAGGGCTTTTTATGTTCCACATACAGAAACAGAAGAATTGAAAAACCCAAACACTAAAAACGAATTGAGATGAACTCATTCATCCAAAGCACTTCACTGGAGCCATTTCCCCATTGAATGTAAGTGTATTGTAATTTGTAAATTTGTGTTTGTGAAGTTTGTTCTCTTTCTTTGATGTAATCTAGAGTGGTGATGTCTAAGTTGATAAATTATTTGTTTTGGCATGTATATGACTCAGAGTATGCCATGTGTAGTTAATGTGTCCTGCAATGTAGAGAACTCACAGATAAACGTATGTACAGCTTAGGACATTTTATAATGTGAATAAAATTTTCTATACAAGTAAGGTGATATTTCATTTTTTTTGTCGTCTCTTGCTTAAAGGAATAGTCCAACATTACGAAATACAGTTATATGTTTTATTTCCAAGAGTCAGATGAGAGGATCAATAGCAATCCAATGCCTGTGAGTGAAGTGCAGAGCTGTAGTCGGAATATGTTTAGCCTAGCTCAGCATAAAAAGTGTAAGCAGGGGGAAACGGCTAGCTTCTGTCTCAAGTGAAAAAAATGTGCCTACCAACACCTTAAGACACAGACATGAGATTGATATCAATTCTCTCATCTAACTCTTGGAAAAGAAGCCAATAAGAGTATTTCCCATAATGTCGAACTATTCCTTTAAGTAATCTTGCAAACGCAGTACATATATTTGCTTGTGAATTAAATGTATACTTATTAGTTATTGACAATGCTACTAAATCCAGTTGTCCTTCACTTTTCAGTAATGTTGGTTTCAGATTTTCTCAATTTACTAAGGACTGTTTCTTTGTAATGGTTCCACATTCTCCATTTCTTTAAAATATATTTAATATGTTAGCTAGGCGTCGATCCCATTTTGCGCCATTTCATTGGCTTAACTACAAAATGAACGCACAACTTCTGGTCATATCATGTGTCCGTATGTAACACTTTGCATACCTTTTTTGCTCTATCCCCAAATCTTGGGAAAACTAAGTAATAACCCCAAACCAAATATTCCTTAAATTAGTCTGATAAATGTCAAAATGTTCCAGTCATAAACTGAGCAGCAACCTACACCTTTATAAACACATCGTTGTTGCAGTTTTTCAAATTAGGCTGAATTCACTGAGACTCTTGCAACATGGACCAGTTGTGATTGTGTGAAGTGCCAGATTGTGCAAATACTTGGATCGCTAAAGAAAGTGTGGAAACGAAATACATTTTCTCCCCCTCAGTATCTTTGAACTGTCAAGTCTCAAACACGGAACATCTGGTTTACGTCTCTGCAGCCGGGAAACTCCAGAGCTCCTAACTTCCCGAAACAATAAGGGACAGCAGGGTTATGTAAGAACGTTATGTGCTCTGATTATTGTTGTTGATAACAAAAAAGTAATTTATATTTTGAGACATTTATCGACACTGATTGGCCAATGTGAGTCCAAAAGCAACTGGATTCCCATGACAAATCACAGGGGGAGGTTTCATATTGCTGCTACAAACCTCAAGTCACAATCAGCTCTGCCTGCAGTGAGAGGAGGCTTAGTGAGAGGACTCTGCCCTAATATCTTCTGAAGAGAACATCAGTATATGTGGTAAGTCAGATGTAGTTTTTTTGAAGCATGTTAAACAAACCTGACCCTTTGTTGATTTGTACTATTTTATTTCTTTATTCTTTTTTTTTGTCTTATTATTATGCGTTGTGCAAAACACTGAATTCACTCTATAACTGAAATGTGCTAAGACTAGAACCTACCTTGCCTTGCTTAAACGGCATTTATATTGTTCCTGAGTAGAGAACAGTAGATTTAAGTTTAGGGTTTGGGTCGATGGATGTCCTCACAGTCCAGTCACCATGTTCACATGTTGAGAACGGTTTGCTAGGATGTTCCTCTGCGGAGGATGTGTGAGAGCATCAAGTCATCCTTTGATTTTAAGTACATTTTTGATGTTGTTAATAACAAATGTTGATGTTTTATAGTGTTTTAGTGAAAGTGCAAGTTGAAAGTACCACTTATCAGTGTAGTAAAAATCCAAACCAAAATAAATGTTGATTCTGCTCTTGAGGTTATTTTCAGAGGAGGTGAAAGCAGTTTGAACTTTCCCCGATGGCTCCGTCCGGCCGCTTGCTCGTGATGCTACAGCTCCTCAGCTGGATATCAGTCGGCCTGGCCTGTTTCTGTGACCGATACCCCTGGGGATCCTGGTCCGCCTGCTCCAAGAACTGCAACTACGGTACACAGCACAGATCCAGGTGATACACCGAACAGACACCGGATACACAGCAAATTGAAACTGAGCCAAAGCAATTGGGAAATGATGTAATCAAGAACTATTATCAGTCTTTGCTCTGCCCTTTTATAGTTATTGTTGTGAAATACAAATACCTAATGCAGATTGATGCCAACTGCTTCTGTCTGTAAAAGGCATTTTCACACTTTGTTGACAGGAGATTTACTTATGATGATTATTACTGGAAGAGCAGCTGCCATCAGCTGTGTCAGAAACATGACAGGAGAGCTTGTAACGAGCAGAACTGTCCAATCGACTGCCTGCTGACAGACTTCGGGGCTTGGTCTGACTGCTCGCCGTGCGCCAAGAAACAGGCAAGAAACACACCAATCACACTGCAAAAAAACCCTGCCATGTTCCCTCTCAGTGGTGAGAAAGCTCCAGGAAGTTCCTAGAAAACAAACCAATCTAAGTGAAGTATTTAATTAAGCTTGTTATGCCTGCTTATTATTACTTTTTAATACATTATGTATAATGTTTATGTACTGTATTTGTCAGTTCTGTCTGTTCTGTCTTTTCTAACCATTATTGCTTCTTAGCGACCAGTTTCAAAAGAAAAAAAGAATGAAAATTGAACATCTGAAAGTGTACAGAGTTTTTAATTAAATGAAACAAAATCTCAGTCGGTCTCTTTCACTGTGGCCACAGTATCGGACGCGGTCTGTCCAGAGGCCGTCCCAGTTCGGTGGATCGGCCTGCAGCGTGGAGCTGAAAGACGATCGGCCCTGTCACCCCCCCACAGAGTGCATGTTAGCACCCATCGACTGCAGAGGCGACTTTAAGTGTGATAATGGTAAATGGTGTTCGAACATGAGTGTTGAGTTTTAGAATAAAGGAAAAAAGCGTGTGCAATCCTTGATGTTTTCATTTCAAAATTGTTAGAATCCAAATTTTTGGTCCGCTGATTGAGGGTATTAAATTTACTTTTTTCTTCAGCCCACTTGAGCGCACATCTCTGATCTGTTGTCACAACGAACACACACAGAAAGACACAAATCAAAGAGTGTATCTTCTGCTAAACATCCTTTCTGCTGCAGGACGCTGCATCAACTCAACGCTGCTATGCAACAGGCAGAACGACTGCGGAGATAACTCTGATGAGAGGGACTGTGGCGACTTCAAGATAGTGTGTCCAGCAGAGAAGAGAGTGGCCCCCGGGGCTGACCTGATTGGAAATGGGTAAGCTAAAGGTCAAAAGGTCACTGTTTACAACTTTTTGTTTTTTACGTTCCTCCCTGCTGTGACCATAAATTAGCCCGCATTCCTTTCTGTCAAGTGCTCCTAGTGTTTCTCCTCTTAAAAACATTTGTATTAGTACGTCTTGCACTGTTGCATTCAATTTGATCTGCTTTTAGGAATATTGTCGTACAACTGCTGCAAAGATAAAAAGAAAAATACAAGTATACTAATTAGAGCCCACATTTTGTTTATATAAACATACGAAATATGTATTTTGTGATTAAGATGTATATGTTAAGATATTACAGCTGAACAACATATATACTGTATATTATTATTTTAAATTTTTTTTAAATGACAGAAATTATAACATTTAAAACAAACAATATTAAACTTAAAACATAAGTATCTATTAAATGCTGCCAAGAAAACAGTTAATGCTCAAATTTACTGCTCAGCAATTTCTTTTCACACACCAGTAATAATCCCATATCGGCCAACAATATTGGTCTGCCACTGTGGCGTTGGGCTTTCGAGCCTATTGTACAGAAACAGTCAATGAGATTTCACTTTTCAACGATTTGTGTTTGTAGATTTGATGCTCTGGCAGAGAGGCAGAGGGGAGCAGTCCTGGACAATATGTTTATGGGAGGAAGTTGCATCATCAGGAGGCCTCCGACCACGCTGCTCTACCATCGCGTCCCTCACAACTTTGAGAGCTTTGACATTAAGGTAGTATTATTATTTGTAATATTCAATTGTAAGTCAGTAAAGCTAGCCTGATTCCAGACCTCTGAATCACATCACACATCTCAGATGTGTTCAGCGATTCAAAATCACTGATGGCTGTCGTTATGGTTGGAGAAGCAACCGGCCAATCAGAGCTTTGTTACCCTTCCTGGGTAAGAGCCATCAATATAGTGACAGAAAAATGGCCGGAATAATATTAGTGATATTTTCTCTTAAATTAATTAATGATGGGAACATAAGCAAAAGTATATTTTATTCACTATAGCAATTCTAAAGGTAGTAAGTTACTTCGATAATATAAGAAAAGGACTAAAAGCTCCTTTTTTTTCAATCCAAACACCGGAAATACTTTTAAATTGGCATACTTCTCCCATCATCGGGACAACACCAACTCCCAGACAGAAATCGCTGAACACGAGCACAATGTTAGACTAAACGGATGAAGTGAAACGAAATGGTTACCTTTGTGTTTGTATAAAAATCAGACCTTGATGAACTAATGTGGTTGTGGTTGTAAAGGTTGGAAAGCTGGAAGACTTCAGCACCGAGCCCGAGACGCTGCACAGCGAGCCCATTGATATGAAGACGTCCAGTTCGTCTGGAAACAGCCAACAACATCAGAACAGTTTTTTCTTCCCCATCTTTTTCTTCAGTGGGAGATCTATGTCGCATACCGGCTCTAACAAGGAAGCTTTTGAAGCTTCAAAGAAAACGGTGAGTGACTCGAACAGTGACGCTCACATTTGCTGTGATACACTTGTGAGGACCTTTATTCACTTAATGTATTCCCTAGTCTCCTGACCATAGCCTTAACATGGGGCTGAGACACAATGACCTCACTCTATCTGAAGGTTGAAACATGGTCCTAACGTACACAAGTGTAATAATTTAAAAATTAGGGACATGGAATTGTCCCCATTTTGTCCCAAAAACAAAGGCGAGTAGTCAGTTGTATGTCCCCACAAGATGGGTAAAACATCCCCACACAACTACAAACACACATTATGTGCTTGTATCATCTTTCCTTTCTTCTTTTTTCCATCTTTCCTTCCTTAGGACTCTAAGTTTCTCCGGGTGCACCAGGTTCTGACCGTATCCACGTTCAAGGTGAGAGACCCGGAGGACCTCGTCTTGTCGCAGGACTTCCTCAAGTTCCTTCACGCTCTTCCTCTCGAGTACAACTACGCCCTCTACAGGGACATCTTCCAGCGCTTCGGGACACACTACTACAGCTCAGGCAAACTGGGAGGCATCTATGACCTGTTGTACCAGTACAGCCGAGAGGAGCTCTCCAGTTCAGGTACAACAGCACAGCTGGGTGGTCAAAATTCAGAATGACACCCTGGGCTGCAGCGGTAACCCAAAAGTAAAAATCAATGAATCAAAATGTAAATCAGACCCATGTTATGTTAATCACTTATAACAATGGAAAAACAAACATAAAGCTAATAATATTGACATCACAAGCATTGAGGTCACATTGTGTGAATGATCTTTCATGTGGTTCTGGTCCTTGGATTACAAATTGTCCGCACACAACAAACTCCAAATGAGTGGACTGTTGTTGAATAAACAGAACTAGAGGAAAATGTAGTGTACCTGTAATATAAAAATGTAAAAGACCATATAGTGTGTAATGTTTTGTTGTCAGTTCCTTCGTCTCATGTTGCTCTACACTCTCTCTCCAACAGGAGAAACGGAGGAGCACATCAAAGACTGCCTGGGCCGAGAGATCGCCTGGACCGTCATCCTCTACACACAATACAGCAGTGTAACCCGATGCACCGACAACAGAATGACTGAGAAATATCAAGGTTTTTTTATATGACTTACTCATTCTTTATTCTCAACTCTACTGTGCATGGCTTACTGGCATTGATCTTATTCTGTTCTTTCCTTTAGTCATTCCTTAAACATTTTTCTTTGGTCCAGGCTCGTACATTCAGACGGCAGAGAAGTCTTTCTCTATGACGAGAGGAGGTCGACCCAGAGAGGCAGCAGCTCTGGCCTGGGAGAGGCAAGGCCCCGCTCCGGACAAAACATCCTACAAGAACTGGGCCAAGTCTGTTCTCGACAACCCTGTTGTGGTCGAATCCAAGGTTTGAATCAAACACCACTGATATGTCTTCTACCACGGAGAAAGAAAAAAAAAATCAACAAAGAGGTGATGTTGGGTTCATGTATGCGTGTTTTTGTCCAGGCGCTTCCCATTATAGATCTGGTTCGAGGGATCCCATGTGCTGCCACAAAGAGGAGACACCTGAGGAAGGCCCTGCTTCAATACCTGGACGAGTTTGATACCTGCAAGTGCTCTCCCTGCCCCAACAACGCCAGGCCAGTTCTCTCCGGCACAGAGTGCCAGTGTGTTTGCCAAACTGGCACATTTGGCTCTAACTGTGAGACACGGGCTCCTGACTACACTTCAGGTACAGCAGGACTTCTGCAGAACACAACATGCTGATCAACAAGAAAATGGTAGAGAACAACAGTCTGTGTGTTCAACGTTTTGTACCGTAAGATACGTAAACGATAACGTAAGCAACCGTGATGGAGAACAAGCTTGTCAGAGGCAGACATTCAAAAGGCTATGATCTTGTTTCTGTCCAACACTTTCATATTGGAAGCTAAAACATAATTCCTCACTACAGTGTATATTGATGTCTAAGCAGGATTGGTTATGTTCACACTGGAAATTCGGTTTGGTGTGTATTTTCCACAGAGGCGGTGGATGGTTACTGGAGCTGCTGGGGGCCGTGGAGTAGCTGTGGAGCCTCAATGAAGAGACATCGGAGGAGGCGGTGTGATAACCCCGCCCCCCTCAGAGGAGGCCAACCCTGCAAGGGTCCAGGCAGCAATGAGGATCCATGTCACATCTCCTTCTTTGCGAGGTAGGACGAACTTTATTTTAGACGAAAGTTATTTTAGACGTTTTCATGCCACACATCTCATGGAAGACAGAACTTTAACTCAACGCTGCAGAATGATCAAATTAAAACATTTATCTTCACTGAAATGCTGCCCGTTTTTTAACATTACCACTATTTCTATGCTTATATATGCAGCTACAGATGCACTGCCGCTGCTTTTGACAAGTAAACTCACATTTACAAAATATGTAGTTTGTATTTTGTCTTCATACGTATAACTTTGGATTTATTGTTCGTTCCGTGTTCATGTTTTGTGTCTAGACAGGAGACCTGTGACAATGATGACGACTTCACTGTAGGCTGGAGGGACGAGCTGCCACCTGGTGTGCAGGGGTGTCTGAGGCCACAGAGGCCCGGCAACAGCTTCCTCAGGGTAAACACTAGTCCTCCAGCCTGTAGTTAGTGATTGAAATGTACAGTATAAGAGAAACATAGATACTGTAGTTCATTCGTTATCAGATAACTGACAGATAAAATATTGACAGATACTCACTTCTGCAGTCTTGCCTTCTTCTTATATGGAAGTTAATTACAACAAAGAAATAAATGCATATCTGGAAAGTTAAAGTGTTGCCTCTGTATGGAGTCTGAAGTGTGCCACTTTATAAAAAAAATGTCAGTCATTAAATAATTTAATTAATCAATTATTGAAAACAAAATATTTCAAATGCTAGATTAGATTTTCATTTAAAATATGCAATAAAAACACAGAGCAAGACATATATAAATAAGAGATTACACATTTTCCAAATGATGATTAAAGTTCCCTTTTCTGTCTTTAAATAACAATTTAATACAAATACATTTTAATATTAAATCACAATGTTAATGTCATTTGTCCGACAATTCATTTATTTGATGGTGTTATGGTTATCTTGAATTGGTGTTTGAGACTTCAGATCTTTACATGGAAGCTTGCGTGACGAAAATGTGGCACAGAGATTGTAATATGTGGACATTTACCCGACCCTCCCGTCTGATGAAAGAATCTAGTGATGTTTGTTATTTGTTTTTGGAGCATATTCTGTCTTTTGTTAGTCCTCCAACTTAATGGAAGGGCAATCTTAAATGAGTTGTGTTTTTAAAAACAGCTTGCTTTATAGTAGCATTAGTAATTTGACACCTCAATATTAAATTCCAAGTTAAAAATTCCAACATACAAAGCAACTCGAGCAGCTCTGGTAAGAGTTCCTATTTGGGTGACACGCTCCAGACTCCATATGTCAAAGCAAACCAAAAACAATTATGAGTAAATATCACTTTATTATGCCATAGTACAGTAGAGATAACTAGATAAAATTAACAATATGAATCTCAAAATGATAAAGTATCACTTTGAATCTCTTAAATATAAATGATCCCGTATTTTACCAGAATTAGGACTCAGTATGTTATAGTTAGAACAATGGTTCTATTGTTCTACACTTATAAGGTATTATTATGTAATACTATCTCATAGAAAAGCACATAATGTGAAGAAGAAATGTGGAATGAATGGAGAGAACAAGGAAGCAACAAATGGTAAAAGGAGTATGAGTTGTAGTATGAGTTGCAGAAGATAGGAAGGAGGATAACAACTATAAAAACTAAATGAAAGATGCCCAGGGGGGTTATATTTGTATCCATCTTAGATTTGCTGGTATTCAGTAACTACGTTCTCTGACAGAAAGCGAAGCAGTATTATAACTTTGGTGAGGACGAAGAGTTCCAGTGCTACACTGGATTTGACCTGGAGGGGTTTCAGTTCATCAACTGCCTTCCTGACGGGTCGTGGAGTCAACCAAGCGGAAAATGCATCAGTAAGTTTGTTTCTCACCAGACAAGTGACCGGTGATCTAATAACTCTGTTGATTTGGTAAACATATCTCTTTAACATGTAACAAGTTACTGTAATACGTCAGCACCTGACGTTAGCTTAAAGTCTGTTCTTCTGTACCGTTAGGGAAACTGTGCCTTCCTCCTGAGATCCCTGATGGCATGATGCTGTTGCCCAACAAAGACGAGTACAAAGTGGGGGAATCCGTGGGTTTTAACTGTAAGGAGATTAACCTGGTGCCGCTGCCACAAGGCTTCCACAAATGCAGCGAAAGTCTCACCTGGGAGCCTCCATTACCTGCTAACCTACGCTGCACTGACGGTACACTAGATTACTCCTTTTGAGCTCTCACAGTCCTGAGAAATTAGGATGCTAATACTTCAAAACTTTCTCCCATACACTGGATTAGACAAATGGGTCTGTTTTGTATGAAAAATACTCTGCATGGAGGATATGACAAAGTTGTCTCTTGTGTACTTCCTGTACGCAGAGGAACCATTTGTTCCGGAGGCTCAGTGTGGTCCGGGAGAGAAACTGATGGACTCTAAATGTGTCTGCATTCAACGGGAGAGCTGCCTGTAAGCTTTTATGAATTATTGTATTGTGTTAATCTATGTTCTTTGGAGACTAAATCAACTGTTGTGAGTGTTTATTATAAAACATATATTCAATATGTGGACTTTAATATGTAAAAGCCAAGTGTTAGCGTCTGACTGACATGTGAGTGTTTGTGTGCAGCTCACAACCGGGGACTCTCTGCATCCTGAACCTCGACGTCGGCGTCACCGTGTCAATGTCCCTCTGCTCCTTCAGCGCTGGTCTTTGCCACGGTGATCCGCTCTACTTTGTCAATGAGGGCGCATGTGACGCGACCGATTTGGCCAAACTGGAGTGGGCAAAGTTCCGAGCAAACATGTCCTCTGAGAGCTCTGTTCGGGTGCCCTGTGATCTTGACACGTGTTATGAATGGGAAACCTGCTCCAGTGAGTTTGTCTGATACGGAAACATTTTTACAAACGCTTTGCTGTTTGATGTGGATTCGCTTTTTTTTAGCAGATACACATTGATTTGTTTAAACAATTTAGTGCAGAGTATAACATTCTCTTTCTTTTACAGCTTTTGCCGTCACACTGATGGGTTATGATAACATTTTACGGTGCAAGTGTGAGGCAACCAGATGAGATTCTAGAAAGTCACTGACCCCATCCTATGAATGTATTAACGGTCCATTGTGTAGGATTTAGGACGTTTATTGGACTAAATGGAAAATAATAGCCATAACTATGTTTTTATTAGTGTATAATCACCATACACCAAGAATCGTTGTGTTCATTAGCTTAGAATGACCCCTTCATTGATACATCGGGTGTTGGTTATCTTCAACTTGCAATCGAGTCAGCATGAATTCTTCATTAATCAAATCTAAGTATTAAAACTTCAATAGCCAACTTAATGAACACAAATGAGGTTTGACTATTTAATGACATCACGTATATTACGTCAAATTATTTTCCTAACGTTAACTCATGTCTGTCCACAGCATCCAAGAAGTGCGAGTGCAAAGTTGCTCGGGATTGCCCCAGAAATCAAGAGCACATGTTCTGTGTGAAGCTGACCAGGACCCAGAGGACTCGCAGCATGGACCTTTGTACTATGGCAGCCCTCAAATGTGCCAGCTATAACTTTGAGATTCTCAATGAAGGCGTCTGTGAGTCCAGATGATCCTTGAAAAAAAGCTTTTCTGTGCCTTTGCACCCAATCTCGGAATTCATCTAACTTTGTTACTCTTTAAAAAATGTACATTTATAAAGTAAAACTAGACTGGCAAGCAGGTATAATGGGGTCCAAGCACCCGAAGCAACTCAGAACTTAAGTGCACATAACTGAGAAGATGGGAAAACCAAGAGCAACTCAAATTTGTGCTTGAACAGGAGGTTTAGGATTGGTTAGATTGGTTTTGATGCAGTTCATGTAGTACGCTTTCACAGGAAACCGTGGACAACAATGTATCATCAGATTTTCACCAAATTTAGCATGAACATACTGGAGGATTACTGGATGTGATTCCGTAACGTGTCATACCGCCACCTAATGTCAGATTTAGTACGGGAAATGTGAGGTACATGTGGAATGAGCATACCAAATGTGTGTCGTTTGGATTATGTATTGGTGACCTATAGCAAAAATCTCATTAAATATTCAAACATGTGTGAAAGCAACCCCTTTTGTTGGTTTTCCACCAAGTTGGTGTGACTATACTGGTAGACAAACAGGATAGGTACAGTATGTCAAATTTGGTGACATTTGAACAGTGTGTGAAATACCTGTTGGTAATCAGGGGGTTCCCCCTACAGTGCATAATATAGACCCACAAGATTCCATTGATGCAATAAAAATGACATACATAAACATGTCATCGACAAAGTGATGAAAGTACAGAAGTCTTTGTGGATACTGTGGAAAGGAAGCCCAATGATGGCACTTTTAAAAGTTTGTAGGACTTGATCCGACCCAAATATAGAGAAGGCTGCAGTCAGTCAGTCAAGTCTAATTACAGGCACAGAGTGAAATAAGCTTAACGTGCTTCACATGAAATAATAAAAACACTGTTATTCTATTTCTTATTCAGATATTTATTGCACCTCTTTCTCTCCATTTAAACATATGAGACAATGGCATTTACTATTTCCATCCCAGTTCTGAATATTTGTCAAACTATGAATTATTTATTGATTGTGACCAAGAGATATCGAGACCCAGACTAAACTGAATTTAATATTTATTGTATAACGACTCAAATAAAATGTGAAAGACTAACATTTGATTAAATAGCATCAAAAACACCCATTATTTGGCGGTCATTGAATTTAGACCAAAGAGAATGCAGGAAACAAATACTATAAATAATCACTTCAAAAATATGCCTCTTATCAAGTAATGAATGTCTTTGAGTCTTAGGTTGGAATATTCTCAGATTTCTTTTGTTTCAGGAAAATAAAGCTGCTTCAAATGCAATTTTTTGCTTAGAAAACTACTTCAAAAAAGAAAACCAAATGTCAAAATAGTATTAGTGGTGCATATGCCCCCCCCCCCCCAACAAAACTAAGAGAACAAAAAAGTATTAAAAAAGGGGTCTTATTAACTTTCTATAACAAAAACAATCGATATCAAGACATTGATTTGTTTGTTTACTTCACATGCATCATTAGGACACTGTAGGTCCCTGAAGTGCCATTAATTGGCTCGTCCACAAGTGACGTTCACTCGAAACTGTCTTCTGATGGTCCAGCAGCGACCTTCAGTGGTATTTGGCTATGTGCAACCCCTATGCATTGCTCCTCTATCATCAGTCCTCCATGACAAATATATAAAGACACCACAAGACGGCAGAGGAACATATTTACATCATTCAAGTGTGAGAACAAGACATTTGATTTTATTAACAAGAAAGAGAAAAAATAGGCCGCTCAGTAAAATCAAAGAACAGCCATCTTTATTCGGGACAAGCCTCAATACTGAAAACATTGACTGTCTCCCCAGCACACCGCCTGGCCCCCACTTCACATTCGGTCATCGCCAGGGCAACGCTGCCAACACCAGATCTCACACACAGGGGGGCGTAGTCTGTAGGGCACTCTGAGGCGTTTTGACAAACACACTTCGATTCTAGAACTGAAAAATATTTATTATATGTACTGAGAAAAAGTGTTTTTTTTGAAGATGAATGCATGTAAACATGCAGAAACTCGAAATTTGCATTGAAAATACAATTTTGCATTGAAAACAAAACCTGGACTGAGGAAACATTGGTATTGGAACAATTTAATTCCAAAGAGTTGCAACAGAAAAAAGTTTCACCGAAAAAAAAACACCGGCATTACAAATGAATCCATTGTTTTTTGTAATCTGATGTATCTTTTTTAGTTTAGATTTGTTCTCCAACTTTATTTTTTCAGTGGAACTTTCTTCAATGCTAATTTGTTCATTTTGAGTTCAGGTTTTGTTTTAAATGCCAAATTTAATTTCTGATGCCACAATCTAAAGTCACTGTTCTAGGTCCACAATAATCTGGCAACATTTTACAATGGTCAAAACAAGAATAAAAACCTCTATTGTAATATATAGAAAGATCCTTAAAAGAAGGTCCAGGAGACTCACCCTGACAGATCGTCCCCGGTTTGCAGTCCGCGCAGGACGTGGACGTCTCCTCTGGCCAGGCACAGTCGCTGTCATTGGCCAACTCGAAGCTCCGTCCAATACACTGCAGAGCTCCAAGCTGACAAACGCTGAGCAAACGCGCTCGGCTTGAGCCGAGTCTGGCACACAACTGCAGAGAAGTCCTAAATGAAGACAATATATGGAAAAATGCAGTGTTAATGTTTCATATTTTCACAAGGCATTTCGCTGTGTGTGTGTGTGTGTGTGTGTGTGTGTGTGTGTGTGTGTGTGTGTGTGTGTGTGTGTGTGTGTGTGTGATGCAGATGATTTATTAAAAATCATACTCACGGGCACTGAGATGGCATTTTACACACACACTCAGTTTGTCCTGCGTTCTCCCACGGCTTACACTTCAGGCCAGATGGAGAGGGAACTGAGGGAGCTGAGAAGAAAATATATATGTTATATCATATAATATGATATTATATACTCCACAGAAACACAACCTTAAAGCCACTATAGCCAAAATGTTACAATCGACAACAATAGATCACATGACCTACACTACAGTATTGTGAAAGGTGTCCCTCATAGCGATCAACCCACAAAAAATTATAACCCGACTCTGCAGCTTGCCTCAGCGTTACAGAGCATAATAGCCACTTTCAGCTCATTGCTTTTGGGATTCTGGCTGAAACTTTAGTGTTTTGGTTCACTCTCACTGCTCCCAGCACCGGCAAAGTTCGCAACTAGCTGGTGAACATAGTAGAGAGTTGGTGGAGGCCAAAAACAGAGATAGAAGATTAAATTTACCCTTTGAATGAAGTTTTAAAATAATTTAAAAAATGAAGTAAAACATTTGGTTAAGTGTAAGTTATTTTGATCAAAGCTGATGAGAGCACTGAGACTGAACTTTACTGCAAATGTTCTTCAACGCCAAAACACTGAGCTGAAAGAGGCTAAAACAGCCCAGTAGAGCTGCAGAGTTAGTCAGAATTCTCTGGTTAAATATTTCACAGCATAACTATATTACTGAAAAGTGAACCTATTGAACATACGAAGCCTTACAACAACAACATTTGAACTAGGAATAAATGTGTGTACTGTACCGGCTTTACAATGAGCGCTGGCCGGTGAAGGAGACCACTGCAGACTGGGACTGCACATGATCTCTGACACATCAGCATCCAGCACTGACCCCACAGGACAGGAGAGGGACACTCTGTCTCCAATCTGATAGGCTTCTTGCAGGGGCATGGCTATAACTTGGCTGTTGAGTGGAGGAATCCCACACGTGGAACCTGTGACGGGATGAGGGGGAATTTGAGCAAGAGGAAGTGAGGGAAACGTGACAATGTGATTCCTTGACAACGATAACTTGAGGGTTCCTGAGAGTGAATGTTTAATCTGCATTCTGCACCCACATCTGGATTTAAATGTGTTACTGTAAATCACTCCTGAGATGTCCTGCTAATGAACAAACAATAGAACCAAGTGCATGACAGAGTGGCAGAGTTGATGGAGTGAAAACGTACTTTTACAAACCATCTCTCCTGTCTTCCACTTCTGGTTTTCAGTGCATTGAGCCACAGCATCTCCACTGAGGTAATGGTCTTGTATGCAGGAGTACTCCACTGAGTTTCCAACCAGGTAAAAGTCTCTGGGATTCTGAGAAATAAATAAAACAGTAGCTAAAATACATGTAACTAATCCCCTCCTTGAATATTTGCAAGAAGAGAGCCATAAGTTTACTACAGTTCTGCAACATTCTTTGGAACCCAAAGTGTCCGGAGGTCTCCGAGGTTTACATAAATGGAAACACAGCATCAATCAAGCACACTCACCTGAATAAATCCGTTCCTGAGGTTTGGGGGCGCTCCACATGTCTTCGGTGGAGTTACGGAGAGATTGAAGCACTGAGGCTCCATCATCCTGCACACAAACAGTTTACAGTGAGAAAACTAAAATACTGCTGGAAGCCGCTGCTTAATAACTTTAACAGAATAATGAGGAAATGGTCATCAATTGATGACTTTCAAATCTATAGGATCAAATCAAGGATATCAGAAAAGAAAGTCTTATTTCCTGGTTTTAATCATGTTTTGGGGGCAAAAGTCTCCCATTTCACATCACAAATCTGATTCCCACAAAATAAACCAATACGTTTTTGAGTGAAGACTTGTTTTGATTAAGATTTGGTTTAGATTTCTGTCCTAATACTACGTGACAAGTTTGTGTGTGCATGTCCTTACTGTAAGAACTGGATGTCTGCATCCTCACAAGGCTTCTGCTCCAGCTGCAGTCCGGAGCAGTGTTGGCCACCTCTCCTGGGGGCAGGGTTGTTGCAGCTTCTGGTCCTTGACCTTTGACCCCCAGAGCAGGATCCCCAGGAGGACCAGCAGCTCCAGCTGCCATGGATCACCCCTGAGAGAAAGAGAGAGATTCACTTTGTTCTTCTGTGACTGACTGGACGGAATGGTTAAATATTAATTTAGTTGGACATCTTTGACATTTAATTGTTTAACAGAGCAAATTTTGATTTGAATCTGTTTTGTTTTAACCCAAACTAATCTTTTGAACTAATCCATTATCCTCTCAGAGTCTGGTGTCAGTTTACCTGGTGGCTCTCCGATCACGGCTCCCCTATCGCAGGCGGGTCCTGAGGTTCCCAGACGGCAGATGCAGCGACACTCTGAGCCCGTCAGAAGAGGCTGGCCGTTGTTCTGGCAGGGCCGGCAGTGACAGGGATGCTCCTCCGTCAGGTACTCCTCTGTGGCTCTTTTCAGGTGGAGCTTCTTCAAACCTGCACACTGCACCTCCTTCACCAGCTCATACAGAGGACGCAGCTGGAAAACAAGTGTACACTTTGTTTATGTGAATGTGTACAAAAAGGAGAAATACACAACATTCTTCCCTTAAAATATCTGAAATAAATCATTCGGGGATGATAATTAATATGAGGACATGAGTATATTAATTAACATTTCATTTGATCATCATAAATGTAGTAATAATGAATAAAGAACAGGAACAAAATAGAAAAAAAAGAATCATTTATCTTTTAACACTCACAGGACATGCAAACATTAGAATACTTGGCTAACTTATACCGACTTAAATCAAAGGCTAGCATATCTAAATTAGCTAACGTCATTATTTTAGTGTCAGTCTTCATATTAAAATATGTAATAATAAAACAAAAACACAAACAATAAAACACAAATCTAACCTTATTTTTCCAGTTATGCTTTCCTATAGTAATCAAACTAACTATGCTGGAATAAAACAGCAATGTCTTATCCTTACATGTTTTATCTTACTACTGTATACTACAGTACTATGGCTCAATATCACCACCATGCAATACAACATCAATGCTGGTCTTTTATTTCCATGGTCACAATGTGTTTGGCCTGGTAAACCAGTCTTACTTTTATCATATGTGTAACTATCTAGCCTTTTGCAGGGTCGTGATTTTTAAACAAAGTTGGAGTTAACTCACTGAGGTAATGTTAATTAGCGAGCAAGCTACATCAAGTAGAATGTGCCAGCAACAGTAACTAAAGGGGGCGGGGCATAGCAATGACGATGGAGGTAATAACAACAAAAGATTTGAAAGTTCAATATGTGTAGAATTTAAACATAACTAGGAATACAACAAATCAAAACAAAGCTTTTATATCAACTAACCAGACATTAAGATACAACCAGCTGTGTACCAGCTGACTGTCATACCTTCTGGTCTGTGACTTCAGGGAAGTCTTGGACAGAGGAGGCCCAGTTGTTGTAGATCTCTCCGTTAGCTTCTGGATTTTCCAGATCCAGAAGAGTCAGAGCGCCTGTAAAGGCCGGATTTCCTCCAAACACGTTGACCTTTATGGGCATCTTGTTTACGTTGTGTCCTGCAGGCAAATGACAGCAGAGCTCAGGCTAGTCTATGTGATAGTCAACTTCAAATGAATATGATTTATTGGAATCCAACCTTCCACTGTGTGGTTTAATGCTCTAAATCAGAAAGCTTTCACTCACCGGAGCTGGATGATAAAGCTTTTGTCAGTTTTTCACAGACGGTCTTGACTTTCTTCCTGAAGAGACGGCGTTTCACCTTCCTCCAACACCTCTGGTAATCTATGTTTGTTGTTTCTTTACACAAACAAGGCAGGAGCAAGAGATTTAAAACTATCAGACGACAGGCACCAAATTTCAGTTCATTGAGAATATAAACATTATATTTTAGGAGATATTTTAAAGAAGTTATTGATGTTAAACTCAACTAAATTGAAAGGTTCATATGTGGTACTGATCAATATAGCAAGGCAAAGTCCCTCCCCTTCCGGTGTCCAACATGACGAAATGCACAGGCATCGTAGCTTCAGCGAGAGACGTCATTTACACGATTTTTGAGTGTATAGACTTTCTATTTACGTATTTTCAGTCTTATGCTTTAACAGTTTTACGACAAAATGTGACTTAGTTGACTTGCAAAAATATCTTTTAATTGGACAAACATCATATCTATAATTCATGGCACAATTCAAAGAGGATAAAGAGATGATTGTCTTTCGTCTTTGACCATCGTACACATGTTTACAGAAATAAGTTCCCATGGTGGTCAGCTGGAAGGGGCGGGACTTTGCCTCTATATGGCCAAAGCAAGGAACAAATTCACAACATTCCCTAAAAATAAAACACATCACATTCCATCAGCTTCCGATTTTATTTGCAGAAGCACGACTTCAGGGTATGTAAAGGAACTAAAACTAAATAGCAACATCATTACTATTATTAGCAAAGTTCTTACCGCTCGACTCGAGAGCCTGGCGGTCCAACTCCAACAAGGCTTGGTATTCGCCTCCAAGTGAGCCCTCGGAGAGGTAGTGTGTGCCGTATGTCTCAAACAGCCGGCGGTAGGCAGAGTAGTCGTACGTGTACGGCAGAGAGGACAAGGCCTTCCAAAAGCCTTCAGCCAGAGTCAAATACTGAGGGGCAGAGTTTTGGAACTGGGCCAGCTCCACCTTATTCTTCATGATAATAAGTCTGTAAGCCTGGACGACATATGTAAAAAGACTGTGATGTCATTCTCTGAAATATGGTGGTTACAAACCTTTAACCCAACTAGTGACAGAGCCCAAAGACAACAATATCAACAATAGTCACTTTGTCCAACCCTTACACTACAAAATCTGAGATAAGTGATTTGTGAAGCACATCAGGTCATATCATCACCTTATTGTCAGTGAGCTCTTTGTGGAATGAGCGGCGGTCGTGTCCCCACAAGGCGTTGGACTGGATGTGCTGCATGTAGGACCAGGAGCTCTCGTAGGATTCATCGCTCTCCTCATTTTCTACTTTCACCTGCAACGCAACAAAGTATAAATATAATCTGTAAAGTGAGAAGTGTTTATCTCAGTAATAAAAGTATTTATCTAAAAAATATCACATTTGCAGCCGAGGAGTCAGGCCTTGGCCCCTCATCTGTGAACATGAACACCAAACATTCATTTCTTGTTCGACTCACCTCAAAGCTGTACCTGATGATGTTCTGTGGCAGTCTGTAGTAGACTTTATGGTTACCACTGAACACCTTCCTGCACTGCCCTCCAAAGCTGAGAGTGTTGATCACACCTGCCCTCAGTTTGCCTGTCAACACGTTGTACCTGTAAAGCAAGACACGACAAATCCATTTGATGGACTGTTATTATATATTTTTCAGCCGCTACATGACATATCAAGCTGTTATTTACAGTAGAAACTGAGTTGGAGTAGCTACTCACCCTTTGCCTGTGAAGTCAGAGCTGGGAGGTGTTTTGTCGAGGTCACATGAGTACTGGCTGCTATCTTGATCACAGCTTCTCTCATCCAGGCCGTCCTCACAGTCCTGGTCTCCGTTACACACCAGAGACTGGCTGATACACTGACCTGGGTTTCGTTCCACATTACAAGGTACATCATTTGGGGCGGAAAAATTCCCTTTTATTTTATCTATAAAGTATTTTTTATTTTATAAAGTGTTACAAATATTGAGAAAACACAGATAAAGATTAACCGAACTGCAAACCCAACAAACAAAAAATAGATAAATAAAAAAATTGGTATCACGACACTTACTGTATGTTGTTAGTTCATTAAACATCTATATTCATAGCAATGTTATGAAAAAAATAGCTTAGGCACATTTTATTAAATACAATAATATACGTTGCGACATACCTGAGGTACAGCGGAATCTGTCTCCACAGCTTGTTGCCAGGGGACATCCTTTTTGTGGGACACATGGTTGTGTTTGTGTGGCTTCCCCTGAACATGGCACACCCCCAAACTGGGCGTACACCCCAAAGTGGCGAGTCCGCACCTGAAAAAGGAAGCGACCATAAAAAGGAAATGAATAAAAGACGGGAACAAATGAAAGGATTAGCATGGTCAGAATTTATTTTCTGTTTTTATTTATAAAATATCACTGTGTCAGTCTTAAAACATGTCCAATGATAAGCTGAGAAACTGTGTATGGGCCCCGTTACACCACAATTTGAAACCACAATCAATGGATGTGTTTTTTTCTGACTCAAATAATAAATCTCCGGAAACCTTTTGTGTCGAGCTCAATATAGGTTTAACTTGACATTTGAATGTGTGCTGCTAATCATCAGCAAACCATCTGAACAGTTCTGACATATGAGGGAGCTAAAGAGTCCACAACTAAGCTGTCATGTTAGTTGCTTCCTCCGTTTGTATACAAACTGTTCCACAAAAAACTCACAGTTTGCAAACAGTAAGACAGGAGTCAATGGTAAATACATCTTTTTGGATAAAGACTTATTGCCTTTTTAGCAGCCGGGCTAGCTGGCTTGCACTAGTTTGCTGGCTACAGACCTTTTTCACGACAAACATTTAGACATTTTGTCGTTTGCTGCATTAATTACATTAATGTTAGCAGCATTCCACCTTGGGGAGGCCGTGGTACTGTGGATTCAATAGTCACCAACTGGCTTGGCAGCTACAGTTCATCAACTAGCCCTGCAAGGACATCACCATGCTTCCAGCGCCACCTATTTTCTGAGTACACACAGTAGTACCATCATGATTATAAACATGGAATAAATTCATATTACTCTGCTAAATAAGTTATTTCAGGTGATTCACCATCGGCTTCACGGATTTAGGTTAGAGGGTCAATGTTGTGAGCATCAAACACTGTTGGGAATTTGGCCTTTCTTGAATAATTAATTTGTGCTCTGTACTTTCTTAGCACATTGCATTATGAGGACAAAAGCCTGTTCACACACCTTCATTGTGGGGACTTCTCATGTGGGGACAAAACTCTAGTCAAGGTTCGCCATTTACTGTACAGTATTTTAGGGTTAAAACATGGTATTACAGCTAATGTTAGAATAATGCAGGTTAGGCTAAGGGGTGGGTTTAGGTATCGCACAATTAGGGTTACTTTTGATCACACTTTCAGGTAATGAATTTAAGTTTATACGATATCCTCACATTTACAGTAAGAGTATGTGTGCGATCTGAAGTACCTTTGTACTGGAGCAGCCATCACACTCTGACCATTCTCCATAAGGGCCCCATCTGCAATTCACAGCCTGCTGACAGCTGAGAAGAATAGACATTGATATTATAATATGATATTTTTCCTGTTGAGAATGAACTGAAACGTATCAATATTTTAAAAAAAAGATGAATTATTAGCTCCCAGGATTATAGATTATGTGGAGAAGAGGGACGTTTCTTCACACCGTCAGTACATTATTATCAAAGTGTTGAAGATGTAACGACAGCTTGTGTGGTTCATGTGTGTGCACCTACCATGCTGGAGATAGAGAGATGACCAACAACGCCAAAGAAGACAAAGCTGCAGACACATCCAACTGTACACAAAAGCCAGAAAACTGTTAACTTAATCTAAATCATACTTTTAAAAATATTCTTGACAAAAGTTATCGGCAGCAGCTATCATCATGACACAGAAGACATTTCTATTAAACTCTCCATTTTGTCAGTATGCCCCATGAATAGAGGTCGTAGTTCATTCATGAAGATGGGAATGAGTTACATTTAGTCCTGATGAGTCCTGATAACTTTGAATCGTTATCTGTGATTCATTACAAAACAAGAATGTTCTGTAAACTCTTCAGTTGCGGAATGCAGGAAAACCCATTTTTACTCCGTGTGTACTTTATTAACCATTGCACTGTAACCTCATGAGTTTAAAAACGTCATTAACAACAGTTCCTTTTATTATTATCAAAGTGTGTCAGTTTACTGCTTACATTTTTTAATGATCACTTTCAGAACTTACGTTGACTTAACGTCCAGACAATCTTTGAACTTTGACCATAAACAGGCTTCTTCAATCCTGCTTCGACCACTTCCCCAACATCCCAATCATTTAAATCCATGCTGTTAACAGATATCTAGAATAACTCATCCATACCCTTATGTTTGTATGCCTAGACTATCGCAATGCTCTTTTCTCCTGTCTCAGTGAAACAGCCCTGTACCGCCTGCAACTCAACTGTAGTAAGTTAACAGAAGTAAAAATTCTACTTTAGATTAACTCTTTGCCTCAATTTAAGAGATTTAGCTAAATCACCTGTCTAAATACTTTGCTGCCTGCAAATGTTGAGTTTTTTTCTTTTACAGAATCGAAATAATACTATGCAAATGTTCATATAATGCTTTGTTGAAATCTGAATGGTATGTGTAGGGTGGAGTTTACAGTACCTTCATGATGTGCTCCTCAGAGTCCGACCCTCTCGTCTGGTCCAGCACTGGAACACTACGGGTGATATAATCAGCAAGGGGAGGAGACTACAGATCCCACAGTTCAGGAATTCCCTTTGTAAAGAAATTCTCATCCACCGAATCTGAACAACCAGGTTTTTATTGCCTCTGTTGACTCAATGAGTCATGGACAGAGACCCGGTGTTCTTTTCCACAGCTTCAGTACAAGATGTTGTGTTCTCCTACAACACTCTGAATTCATTTCCAGTAACAGTTTTGATAAGGCTGTCTGCTCTGAGAGCTGAACGGTACAAGAGGAAGCTTGATGAAATCTGCTTTTTTTTATGTCAAAACTGCCTCATCGGAGTGTGACAGGACTAGTTGCATAAGAATTGTTTATCCTGGATAAGAACGTCAGACGCTAAGTCTCCATGATTTGGGCAAAGGTCAAAAAAATCCCAATTTGGCCAATATTAGAATGCATTTGACTCTGTCGCTCTGTAAACACAAAATGCATGTGGCAATAATATCCACATCTTCATTTGTAATTACAACTTCCTACTTATTACTTCATGTGACTATTAATCTAAATGTTCTCCATTCAGAGCATTAAAATAGCAGCTAAAAACTATTCGCTATGTGAAGATATAGTGGAGGAATATCTTCCTGAGGAGAGAATGAAGTCGCTCTCCCTCTGTGTGTGTGTTGTAATCCCAGCATCTCCGTGCTTTCTTAACACAGCCGGCCAGCCGTGCGTGCCTTTTAGTGCATGTTAGTGCATGTGAGCGTGACCCACCTGTTTGCTCTGTCAGCACTGTTGCCGTTGTTTGTACTGTTAGAAATGTTGGCACCGTTAACTGCAAGCAACCAGCTCAGCCATCCCCATGTTGAGAGCCGTTAAAAGGCAAAATAAATGCTCTGAATTTAGCACCTTCAATCCACATTTTACATTTTTAGACAGAAACACAGTATTTAATTCACAACAGTTATATATTTTTACATTAATATTACCATGTCTTTTTTTTATTGTTTTATGTTTGTTAATATAACTAAATTCTATAGATCAAGCAAACATGTTTCCTTTAATGTATTTAAGTCTTCTCAAATCTTTTGTTTTCACCTGGGGAACAATTAAAAACAAGATGAGTCGTTATTTATTGTGCGTCACTTCACCTTTTTTTATCACAAGTAAACTCAAAGTGCTTTACATTCTAACACATACAGCAACAAGTGACATGCCCAGAGGAATTTAATGAAGAAAGGAAAAAATAAAAAAACAAAAGCGACAAAAGAAAGTAAGAGAAAAACAATAATAAGACAGTGATTAACCCCACATCTTCATTTATTTTACGAAGAGGACGCAGTTCCGACAAATCATGCAGTTTGTTCCAGAGAGCAGGACCAACGTCACAAAAAGAACCTTCACCACATCTGGATCTTATCCAATTAGACAACCACCACCTGCCTTCCAGGTCAGATTAGGTTAAAGTCAGTGAGCAGTGAGTCGCCGCAGGCCTCCCTGTATAATAAGTTCAGGTTGCCATCTAGTGGTGTCACTTTTTCTTCTTTAGCGTTTAGCACCAAGACACATATGACCTACAATATGTTTACCTGTTTTCATTACAGATGAAGAAGACAGTGTGTCTTCTTTTCTGGTCTTGGGAAATTCATGGACCTAAATCTTCCCCTCCGGTGGAGGCTGTGGTTGGAAATGTTGGCAAGAGGCTTGTCTTGCAAATTCCAATCCCACAAGACCCAGCTTGCCTCCACCTCCCATTATTATGATTGGGATGATCTTCTTTTTTTTTTTTTCTCCATTCCTGCTGCTGTTTATTATCTTAGAACATGTGTTTGGCCTTAACTCATTAATTCCATTCCTTTAATTAATAATTAATTTAAAATGTAGCAAAACACTAGCAACGAGGGTAGATAATAATGAGAATAAATATGAAACAAAATTTCAATCATACCTTAAACTAAAAAGAAATCTGCTTTGAATTAACGTCGAACACTATTACTAAGCTTGTTTACAAGATATTTAAGGCGGATCTATAGAGGGAACCGTAAAGGGCATCTTTGGATGGATGGGAAACACAACAATGGATGGATATATTATTGACTCTTTCATCCCATAAATAATTCATGAACATGAACATCATATTGTAGGGATGTAAAATAAAACATCAAATATAATCAAATATAATACAACAGTTAAGTGAATATAATGTGAAATCTTGTGTTCTTTTAAATACTACAGGGTTTTATTGCTGGCTAGTCAAATATATGTGAGGTTCCCAAGGGAGAGTTTGGACTTCTGACCCCAGTATTTCTACAATCCCGGCTGTAACTCTATCTGCAGCAGCTCCCACACAAAGAATTTTGAGCTGTAGCGACTCCAAGCTTATTGTTTTGGTTTTCTGGCCAGCAACTTTACTGTTTTGGTTCACTTTCACTGCTCTAATCAGCACAGTGAACATGACTCAGATGGAATGAAAATGTTGCTCCATGTCTGCTGGATGTGGCATTTGCTTGCTAACATTAACATCTGCATGTGTGTGTGTGTGTGTGTGTGTGTGTGTGTGTGTGTGTGTATGTGTGTGTGTGTGTGTGTGTGTGTGTGTGTGTGTGTGCTATGCTAACCATGTGGAGAGGGTGTGGGTGGTCCACAGTCTGTCAAAAACAAGGTGCTGACATGCCAGAAGTGAGACTCACGTGTGCGGACTAAATTTAACTTGAAATGTGACTCCACAGGCTGAGAAATACCGCTCTAAAACCGTTGTGGAGTAGGTTCCTTTACCGGTAGGAAAACTAATAGCTCAAGTTTTATTTTGGCACACTAAGAACTTTCACTTAATAATATAAGTGCACCTAACATCCTTATTCAACAGTAGAGGTGGTGCTACTTTACTTGTGCATTTCCATTTGTGGATCTCACTTCCAAATTGATTTGCAGTGGAGGAATGTAACTGTTCACCCTACTGTACTTAAGTAGAGTATAGTTATTTGTGGTATTTGTACTCTACTTGAGTATTTCCATTTACTGTATATTTCTACTCCTTTCCATTTTGGAAGCCAATATTTTAATTTTTCCTTAACTTTATTTATTTGATACGATTAGTTGCTTTGCAGATTCAGATTATTAACACAACATATAAATCCACTACTAATTGATGATATGGATTAGGATATGCAGTAGTATGTCAAATAATTGAAATAAGCTGCACCTTTACCAGCTGCAATATTGAATAGCCTAAGGGAATTACCCACAAATCATTGCAATGTGACATTAAACACGGGGTAACCAGTGGACGCATGGAGACGTAAAGAAAAGGTAAACAAAGAAGACGGCTCACGTGTGTTCAGCCTGTCATATTCAATTTACTCAGAAACATTAAGGGTTAAAGATGGAACAACAAATAAACATGAAATCAGAAGATATTTATTGATTTATTCATCAAATATTTGATTTTGTCATTGAAGCTGTTTTGACAAAAACGAGTAAATAGATTATATAAAATTACCTCTTGTGAGGAAAGAGCCTGAAGACGTTCAAATCAGGGAGTACAACATATAAAATAAATACACACAATTATACACCTTATTTTTGTTGTTTTCATGGTCACATGATATGTTGCAGCAAAGGGCTGTCCCATTCCTATTTACACCATCTCAAGCCCTCACAGTCTCTCACACTCAACCACTTACCAGGTGACGTCAGTAAGTCCTTGAGGGTTCAGGGTTTGAGGGTTTAGGGGGGACATTGGGATTGGGCCCATGTTTCAATCGGTTTTCCTGGAGATCTGCTGCTGGTGGTTTTCCCTGCCGCACCCCGTCTCCACCGGCAGATGGCGCCCTTCTCTCTGCCGCCGGAACCACAGGGTGGACGTTACAGATGTGCGCGCTGCAGCACCGACAGAGGGGCAGGGTTTTCCACGACTGAGTCACCACACCGAATAGGTCTCAGTTAAACATACTCTCGGTTGATTTTACGGGGTGTCTGCGGTTTGTTCACAAGGATTGTTGGAGCTCGATGGTGCTGTTTCTCCAAGGAAACCTGTGAGGACAAGGTGCAGACTGCTGTCCACCTCCCCGCCGCGGTGAGTTAGTTCTCGTGTCGGTGCAGCATGTGGTAACGTGAACAGACTGCCTCTGATAGTGTGTGACATGTAATTATACATTAACACGTTCACAGCCTTATACTGTCGGCTTTTACTTCTTGATGCGTGTTATCGTGTCACGAATCTTGCGCAATCGCAGGGAGCGCACTGGGGGGAAACCCGTCAACCGTGAAGCGGATTTAAAACAAACTCATTAAACCGAAACTGCAGTGAAGAAACAGTTAAAGTAGTAAGAAGTTAAAGCAGCTTATCGATGTTTAAATGTGACAAGTCAAGTCGGTAAAGGGTGGAGAGTGAGTGACTTGTATTTAAGTCAAGACTCAAGAGAGTTAAGTTACTTTATTATGGTGCAATTATAAAGGGAAATACTGTTTGTTCATTTCTTCAAAAGAAAAATACTCAGGACTGAGACAGTTAGTTGATTAATCAATTGTGTCATCGACCCAACATTAAATGGAGACTATTTTTGATATTTGTTTGTGTAATTGTCCAATCAAAATGCCAAAGTTTCCCTCGTACCAACTTCTTAATTGTGAGGGTCAGTCTGGCATCAGAATAATGGAGACAGTTGGAGAACAATTAGATGCAAAACAGGATGTGGACTCTAATGGGATTTTTTAACTTGGCAACTATCATGGTTTTCCCAATTGATGTGCAGATTTTTAGACATTCTATTATCTAGGTTTGAAAAATAGTGGATATAGCTGCCATTAATGGGAAATGTCATCACTCGCAGGGCCACTGGACCCCCCCTCGGTGGGCTGAGCCCCGAATATTTACGATGTCTGACTCTGCAACTGTTGAGGATTTCCTCTTTTTCTTTGTCTCGTGTTGCTCAGACAAAAGACATAACTTTGAGGGTTAAGACATTGTATTGGGCTTTTGTTTTGTTTATGACATTTTAGTGACAGATGAATCAATAGTACAAATGTAATTGGTTTAATGTTATGGCAACTGCATTATACGCTTGATGGCTGTTAGTCCCCTGTTACTTTGCAGAAAAAGATTTAACACCCAAACATTTTGACTCATAAATGAGGATGCATTACATCTTCTGCCAACACATCAGTCAATGTAACAGTGAACACAGACAATCGTCATGACCTTTGTGTGGTCAACTTCTCAGGGACACTTTTGTATTTGCTTGAGCACAGAACAAGCTCAAGATGGATTGTATGGGATCCGTTGTTTTTTTAAAGTCTGTGTATGAAAATTAGTCTAAATGTCACTAAAGTACATTTACATTTTTCTACAAGTTTTCCCAAACTTCATGTCATGACCCTGAGCCTGTTTGTAAAGTCCGCACCTGTTGATCTGAACAGAGTGTGTGCTGTGACGCTTTGAGGGTAGTTGAGTCTGTTGGTGTGTCTAATCAGCATGAGGAATCCCAGATGTCTGTTCTCAACACTGGTGAGCAGAGATTACAAGGTAATAATGCTGTGACTAAATGTGTTTAGAGTTTAGGACACTTGAGCAGAGGGTTTTGTCTCTTCATGTCAGTTTCACTAGTTGTACTTTATCTCATTTTAGTGAGTTAGCGATTGAAAAAAAACCTAATTTGTTCATAAATCCGTATCCAACCCTTCTTTTTTGGTGTTTTGAAAAACACAATAGTTTCACTGGAAATCAAGATATAAAAAACAATTACTGTAAATCAAGAAACTCACAGTAAGTGAGTTAAAGGTTCAGACAGGAGCAGTCTGGCTGCGCTGTCACACACCAACAGTATATCTTAATATAATAATCAAAGAATATTATTAAAAAAGCTCACAGCTGTTATTTTTCATCTAGTAGTTAACTTAACATGCTATAGTGCTGCTAACATGTAAACTAACACTCTTCAGTTATATAATAGTTGCACGCTGTTTTTTATCAGGTTTATTAATTTTGTTTATTATTATCATTTTGCTCTTATTCCTTTAAGGGACATTAATAATAATTTAATTAATAATTAATAATAATACAAATGATGATGATGATAACAACAATGTAGTACTGTGTACCATTCAACTTTAGTGTTTATCGTACCGTGAAAATCTCAAACCGTTACAACCCTAAAAATGACAAAATGACTGTATTATAAAGTATGATATAATAAACTATGAGGACACTGCACGTCCTCCATCTGCACTTCAACGTAGAGCTGTGAAAGTAAGAGCAAACACACTGAACTAACACAGTAGACTCCGCCAAAACTTACACAAGTCAGTGTCAGTAAGTGAGGACATTAGGAAAACAACTCCAGTAAATCATTAATAGGTTGTATGATTTTATGTATGTAAAGTCAGGTGACACACCACAATCAAACACAACACGTGCGCTTGTGAACAGTCTCCTTAAAATAGACAAACGTTAAATTCAAGAGGCATTCGCTCAGTATAATGACATCAACAGCTCAGTAATCCACACATTTGAGAAATTGAAACCAGCCAATGTTTGGAAGTTTGCATGATAAATGTATTTTCAATTAATTTTGTTTTCATCAATCTATTAATGAATTGACTATTTGCTATATGAATATAGCGCTATCGGAGCACTGGCACTTCGGCTTACATCTCTCCCGTTGACTGTCTCTTCCCTCTGTCGTTTCTCTTCTGTCTGCGGATCGATACAATGGGGAAGATGGAATATGGACATAAAGTTCTATTCACAACCACCAAAAACAAGCACGAGAAAAAAACTGCGTCTCTCAGCATAAAGCGCTGTCCATTATTCTTAAACGTAAACAGACGTTAATGAGCACGCAAAACAAAACAAGACAAATTGATGATCAGTTGACTATAGGCAAGACTTGACCAATCAGATTTAACTATCTAAATTCTTAGTCAGGGACACCCCTAGATATTTTAAACAATAAATCAGGCGGAGAAAGACCTTGGGTATCCTAATAACAAGCTCACAAAGAGCCCAACTCTGCTTTACAAGATGAAAATGTTTTGAATCCAAGGTTCAGTGAACCAGATCTAAACAAGGCCCAGGATGTAGTGGGGGTGGATTGCACATTTACTGGTGGGAACCCAGAAGTGTTGGCTGGAAATGGATGTCACGTCTAGAACAAAACTGTTTTTTTTCCCAGGAAGTATAAACAGTGTGAATACCACAAAGATAATATGAATAAAACATCCTCAGATTCCGATTTAGACATGCTGGTCCTACTATATATATGAAGTGAGAGTTTGAACAGAATTAGTGAAGTATTTAGGAAGTGCCAGTAGTTGTTTCAGTAGTAAGTAAACAAGGTTGAAGTGATTGTGCTGAAAGAAGTGAATAGTAAGCGTAAACAAAGCACGAATGTCGGTTGAAGTGTAAACACTGAAAAAAGGTTTCTGAAAGTCGTGGAAGTGGTAATTAAAAGTGAAGTGCTGAAAAGAGTCAGTGGCACTGACTGAAATGAAAGTACTCGAAGTGAAGCTGCTGAAAGGAATTGAAAGTAGTAGTTGAAGTACAAACATAATGTGAAAGCAGTGAATGCAGTTGAAAAGTAGAAGTCAGTATAAGTGTAGAAACAGAGCAGATAAAGTGTCATTAAGTAAAATTACTTTGATTATAATCTGAAATAAGATCATTTTAAAGCAACTACAGTTGTAACTTCACATGTAGTAGTCAAATAAATCCCAAAGCTGAAGGACTTGAATACTGTAGAGCAGTAAATATTATTCAGTGTAACAGGTTTAACATGTTCACACAGCACTCCGTCTCTCAGTTGTCTGTCCTAAAGCGTTCCAAGTATTTAGCAACGTGGGAACAGCCCTCCTCCAGCTGAATGTCAGGATACAGAACAACCTGACAAATAGGCTGCCGTGTATGCACAAGAGCGAGGTTTGCAAACTGAATGCCACTTGATGTCTGAAGCACTTTCCAGTTCTGTGACTCTATACAGTTGTATCGCGGGTGTACTCAGCCTCTCCTTTGAAAACAAAAGTTAAGGAGTGTTTAATGGTGGTAGTGGGGTGGGCCTTCATGGGCTCTGCGGTGCAGCCGGGTGGAATGCACTGAAAAACTAACATTCGCCACATGTTTCCTCCACAGCTCAACACCATGGCAGCCGCTCTCACCGTGCTCTTCTTCTTCCTTCACATCTTCACTTTCTCAGCAATGGAATCAGCCTCTGAGCAAGGTATGTTTATGAATATCTATAGATTAGAATAAAAAAAAAAAAGATTGTTGGCATTTGAATGTTTCAGACTGATTTGAAATTATGTTTATAGCATCTTGTGTAATGTGTGCAACTTCTGTGTGTAGACTTGATTATGCTTTCTTGTTAATCTTGGTTTTGGTTTCTACGAGAGAAATTGCACAACAGCAGATGGAACTAATCGTTCAGACACATCTGTTTTAAATGGGCCACAGGACAAAACAAGCACAATATAAAACACGTATTGCTGCATTGTTGCTGTGTTCTTTTTAACATTCAAATGAATGTGAACTGTGTTGCACAACAGCGAAGCCCTCCGCACAAAGAGCCACAGAGAGCTGCCAACAGATTTCTAGTGAAGTGGCTTTCCAGGAACTCTAGAGAGCAGAGAGTACTCTACTGCAGAACAATGGGAAGCTGTTCAGTGTGTCCGTGCCCCGTTTGATTTGTACAAAACAGCCCCTCAGTGGCAGTGGAAGGGCTCTGTATTTGCATACATGGGTTGTATTTTATCCATAGATATAAATTAGGTGTCATTGACCATTAAAGTCACATGCGGACATCCTGTGTTTGGTCTTGTTACATAATACTGTCAGTATAGTTTAGAGGAGGTGTGAACGGAGCATGTTTTCCCCTCTTCCCCAGTTCTCCTGCTTCTTAGTTTTTATTAGTTTCATGCCTTTAAATTAACTCGGCTGCTGTGTTCCGACGGCCATATTTCCCCCTGTAGAATAATAAGTGAGTTCAAGCGTTTAACTCGCTGCCAAATTGTTCATTGAAATCAGAGACGCCTCAGCTGAGTTTTTAATGCAGACCTGGTGAGCAAGTTTTAACAGCCTGCAAAACTTCACATGTTGAGTGATTCGGTCTCAAACTGTCTGGCGTTGCTGTGGTGAATAGCCGCTCGGGAGAAACTACGACATGTAACTGAAGACGAAATATAAATTGAACATACATGATCTTAGTATTTTCGAAGAGAGGCTACCAGCTAGCTACCGTTAGCAGACAGAGGGTATAAAAATAAGAGTATAATGTATTAAGAAGAGTTTTATGTCTAATGAAGCCTTGTGTGTACTCCGTCTGTCAACCGACATTGTCTACGAGAGAAGGACTGGGACTTTAGATCAGTGGTAGCTCAAAATAACTCCTCTCACCTCCGATCTTTTGAACGGGAGCCGCAGGAGGTAGGCTGCTGCTTCTGGGAACTGAATGGCCCCTGGAGGGGGGAACGTGTGATCCTTACTCTTCACCACCTGAGCACCACTGTTTGTATCGCCCAGGAATCATGACATTGGTTCTCGATGCGATTGCAAGGTCATGCTGTCGCTCTTCACTGTCAGGCGTACACAACCTTCCTCTCTATCTAATATGTTTATGTTTTGCCCAGAAGGCTTGTTGAGTCAGCAAAATGTTCAGTAATCACTGTTGAGAGCACAGTGGCTCTCAGCCAAGGAAGGAAATGGCTTTTGCTAAATGCAGAGGAAGAGGTATTTCCTCTAGAGAGTGCACTGATTGATGTTTGAACATGTGACTCTCCAAATATCCGTTTGCCTTGTGTGCTCCCAGTAAAGACATTAATGAAGGCTTCCCACCAGCACGCTGTCCAGATGTTGTTAGATGCTATAATCAGAAAAGCACACACTAAAGGCAACCTGTTGTGTTCTACCTGCTACTATATGGGATCAGAGGTATGAGTGAGTCCTTTCAAAGGTCATTAATACTAGCTACTGTTTCCTTCCTTGGAAATTACAGCTAAGAGGAAACACATCTGGGCTTAGAAAAACAGAGTAAGCGAGGATGTTTTCTTTCACCCTGAAATAGACTGTGGGCACTCTGCAGCACTTAGAGAGAAGTCACGCTAATGTAAACATGTTTACTTCTTATGCTTGTGGCAGTTTGTCTCTTGTGAAGTCCTGTAATGAGAAGATCTTGTAAATTGATATTACAAGCTTGGAAAGCGTGTGTGTGTGTGTGTGTGTGTGTGTGTGTGTGTGTGTGTGTGTGTGTGCGTGTGTGTGTTTTGTGGCTTTTATGGCTGTGACCTGAAAGTGCTCGGCTTCCACTGCACACATGTTTACTTACTTGGAGTGAACTCTGTTTGGAAGCTGTTGAGCAAACACAGAAGCACATTCAGTGACAAGCACACAAGCACAGCAATGAAGGTTTGCAAGTTGATCAAGTAGCTTATGATCAGCTGTACTGGGTCAGAATTAGGCATCATGGGGCAATAATATTTTTTCGTTCTCTTTAGATACTTTCGCCACTCTTACTCAGTGGTGGAAGAAGTATTTAGATCCAATAGTGAATTAAATGTAGCAAAACTACAATTTAAAAATACTAACAGGTAAAAGTGTAAGGTACAAAATGTAAAAGAAGTAGTAAAAATCATCCATCACAATTTTCTACTGCCCAATATACCATCTTCAACGTGTATGTTGTGTCCAAACAGCAGTTCAATGCCCAAATATATTAGATGTACTATCATATGTGACAAGTTAAAGCACCAACAAAAAAAAGCTAGTATCAAAATTGCTGCTGATGACGGACTAATCATTTCATCTCTGTATATATCATACAACATATGTCATTTTAATATTGTAGCTGGTGGAGGTGGAGCTAACTCTGACTACGTCATGGTCTTCAGATCTATAGAAGTGCATATTTTACAAGTTAAATACATGTTTTATATGTAATGTAATATCTGTAAAGCACTACAGTATAGTCATCAAACAAGCAACCCTGTCTCCTTGAAATGATGTTTGTATCTGAATGTAATACACTTGGATTACACTCTTTATAAACACAATATATTTAATGTTATTTATGTGGCAATTTGCAAAATGTTGGTGGAAAACGTACGAAATGTTCACCGACATTTGTTTTCTTACGATATCTGCTCTAGTTGTAAATGATGCGCTGGTCTAAACTAAAGCATGATTAAACATGTTTGATTTGTTTAGAACCTCACAGCACTTCAAACACATTATACATGTTAGAAGTGAATAGCTGAAACCATATGAAGACTGTAAACTATATAGTTACTATACTGTACATATGTAATCAAACCTCAGCCATGTGGTTGGGCGTGGTTTCAGAACATCAGACATGCTCCAAGCGTTTCAGAGCAGGGATTACTGCTTATTGTTTCAAGATTCTGAAACCTAATCTAATATACTTTCCGTTTTTTTAGTAACACATTCTTCTGTGGTGTGTTGGTTTTACCCAGACTTTAAGGTCAGGGAAAGTGCAAGGTCTTGGACAGAAAATGTCAGCACTGACTTGAACATGGCGTGTTCATTTAACTAAAAACCACAACATTTCTCTTCATCCAAGTGCTTTTGTTGCCTAACACCATCCTCACATGGGACCAAGGATGAGAACCCCTGCCACCATCCACCACAACCACAGTATGCCAATGCGGTAAACTGCCCGCAGCATCTTCCGACCAGCCGTTTTGTTTTGTTTTTCATGTGTAGCATAACACATTGCATTGTGTTGAGCAACAATGTGTTGTACAATAACGGCTACCTTTGTACAATTTGGCAAAAGGAAATCGTGAGATAATTTAGATCATCTCACAATTCTTTTTAGCTCGGTAGTAACAGTACTTGAACAAATCAGCCGCTCTCAGCCTTTGATGTTTTATTTATTTCAATCTCCATGTTCAGTCATGTTAAATAATAATAATAATAATAATTCATGTAATTCTTATAATAATCATACAAAAACAGGAATATACCCAAGTACTCTCAAACGCCCCCAACTAAATTATAATAAATCAATTTCCCACACATTTCCCCATCACACACAACTAACATGTATCATGATGAAATGAGCCGCATAAATGCTCCGCATGGCTGAGTGTCAAATTGCCTTTTCTCTTAATGCTGAGCTAAGCAGAGTTCCGAGGAGGAGTCGGGGATCTGGTAAACAGGTTATTTTTAACCTGTGGCTCCCTTTCCCTGAAGCACCCTAATCGGGCCAGAGGTATTCATCATCTGCTCCGAGTGCTGCCTCTCGGCTGTGAAGGCGCCATCTTGTTCTTTACACATCTTGGTGCTCAGCCAGCAGGGGCCTGTGTGTTGTTCCTCTCTTGACATGTTGATGTGGTCAGCTGACTGCGTCTGCATGCTGTCCCAGGAGTTATTGATCTCAAAGCCTCCCGGTAATACAATCAGCAGTGTTTACTTAATGCAGCGTCAAAAAGCTCTCCTCTTTGTTCAAAGGGCCAGTTCGGCCACATCAGACAAACAGTTTTCTAAGCAAACTCTGTCCACTTATGTGAGATGCACTTAGGTGAACCTTACGTAGTGATTATTTTGTAAAAATGTTGTCTTATAGAAAGTCTTATTTTCTTCCCACCAAAACACTGTCAGACTCACAGTCGTCAGTCAAAATAACAAAATCATCGATTTTGCAGAAACGGTTTTATGGTGACTACGATGCAACTACTTAATACATATTTTTGTCCCTCAATCTCTCCGTGGGACAGTAGTGTTCTATTCCCCTACACTACACTTAATATTGTCACTTTGCCAGTGTGAATCCACTACAGACAAATGGGACACAGGTCTACTGCAAGAGTGTTGTAGAAATGCTGTCCACTCGCAGTTTGAGTTTATTCAGCCTGTAAAACAGGATCCCATAGTACTTCATGTGCAAGTGGGTTTCTGAGTACAGAGAGATCAAACAAGCTCATTCCACCAGAGCCGTGGCAGTGAACTCTCCAGCTGCTGCTTTCGCAAGAAGAGCCGTAAAATTACTTCCAGGAAAATGTAGACATTTTCCCTGTGGCTGGGGCGCCCACTGGATTTAGGTTACAGTTATTATCCCGTCACTGAAGTGATGCATCGTCACATCACGATCATAACAATCAGTTGCAACACCAAAAAGAAAGCGAAACAGATTCATGCAGCATCAAAAAGAATGAGATGTGATGATGATAAGATTATGTTTCTCTGTCCCTCTCACTTCCTCGCTCTCTCTGTTCCCGACAGTCCTCACCCAGAAACACCCACACATCACCAGTTGCGTCTCCACCAACATGGAGACGTTCCGCTGCAGATGGAATGTCGGCACTTCCCAGAGCCTCTCCGAGCCGGGAGATCTCCGCTTATTCTACATTAACAAAAAGTAGGGGAGAAAATTTTACGAACAAAAAGATGTGCCTTTTCTGTGCTGTTCAAGCAAATCAAGGTAACAGATACAAAAAGAAGAAAGAGAGGAGAAGGATACAACTTGGCAGAGTACAAATAATGTAGTCATTAAAACATAAGTCATGACTTTACAGGCCTTTTGAATAATGTGCATCAGAGTAAAAGACAGGTAATAATTACAATTAAAGAAAGAGTAGAATAATTCAAGCAAGGAAATAAGTGTCAGTTGTTAGAGAATGCATGTAGATGTAAGTAAATGTAAGATACAGTTGACTCGTAAACCACTTCACAAATCCCCTCTTCACCCACATTTTCAAGGTTCAGCAGCATCACTGCTTTTACAACTGGCATGCAAGCCTTATCTGGTATGTGGCGCACCTGCTCACTCTATGTTGACAAGGCAAAAGTCCAGTTCAGGCTTACACTTTGTGAGGTATGTTATATCTATGGGCATAGTAGGGATTCTCTAGTATTGAATAGATACCATTAACCAACTTCCCACAAAAAAAAACCCAAACCCGATAATGTGTTAGTCCCTACCGTGTCTGGTATTCAGCCTCAAGTCCACTGCTTTCAATGAAGACATATATTGTAGTAAAAACAAATGCTCACAATAGTAATAGAATAATTTTTTTATGCAAAAGAAAACAACAATGTTGCTTATTTGTAGTTGTTTTAATTTCCCCGGATAAATCCTAAGAGATACTTTCACGTTTATGCAATATCAGGGTCTGATATGTGTTTAATCTTCATAAATTGAATCGATAAATTTGAATCAGGACTTTCTAAATCAGTTTTTAATCAGGAGTAGAGGGATCAGCCGTAATCATAAACTCATTTATAAGCGCGCTGTCACAAGCCATATACTTTTGGTTTGTATTCTATTCAGCTTGGATCGGTTTGCCCAAATTTAAGCGGATCAAATTAGAAAGCAGATATGCTGAAGGGCGTGTACAAAGGAGTCTTACATTGTAGTTTTGGTCTGTTCACAACTGCCCAAACAAACCTCACCAGAGGTTCAACCGCACCACAGCTGATTATAACCGACTAAATGTTTATGCATGCTTATGAAAGTGCCCAAAAATATTTAATAATTGCTTTGAGTGGATTTTCTTACTTGTTCATGCTGTTTTCTTAAATGTACCTGGTCTCACCCCCTTGCAGACCCCCCCCTAATTCCTCCAAAGAGTGGAGTGAGTGTCCTTACTACAGCACCGACAGGCCAAACGAGTGCTTTTTCGATGAGAACCACACATCCGTATGGACATATTACAGTGTCCAGCTCCGCTCGAGGGATCAAGCCATCCTCTATGATGAGAACCTTTTCGACGTATATGAGATCGGTGAGTTTGCTGCCTCACTCTGCAGCTGTCATGATACAGATCTAAAGAAAGTTCATTTAAAAAATGGGATTAAAAGCCCATATAAGGCTTTCCCATATTCCTCCGCTACTTTCCGCTCAAAAGTTTAAAGATAGGATTTGTTGGCACCCTGGTAAAGTTTCAATGCTCTTCCCCAACTTCCAGATGAGCTACTGTTTCACAAGCATCAGTCTCTCCGAAGAGTCTAAACTTTTGTCTATATCCTCAAGATAAATAGATCTACTCTTGTATGGTATATGCCACGAGTCTTAAATATTTGCAAACTGTCAAAGCATTAGGGGCAGCAGTTGCTGTTGGCTGTTATAAATACTCAATGCTACAATGATATACGTATTAGACGGTAGTGTGCTTCCTAGTTTGTGGCAGCAGTTTGGGAAAAACCGTGTCCTGTTTCAACGGGACAGTGAATGAACTGAAACTGTGAGCCAGGTCTTATTCCCAAACATGAGTGTTTGACCTTGAAAATACTATTGTGTCTGAAAAGGAACAAATCCTTGCAGCCAGGTTCCAAAATCTGTTGGAAAGCCTGAAACCAGAAGAGACTCTCAGACTCCAACTAATGAATACACATGTGTAAACTGTAGTAATACACTCTTGTCTTTGTTGACTTGCTGGTGATAAAATTACATTCTGGCCTGCAGTGCAACCGGATCCTCCAGTCGGCTTGAACTGGACCCTGCTGAATGTGAGCTCCACCGGCACTTACTATGATATCATGCTGAGCTGGAAACCGCCCCAGTCTGCAGACGTGGCGATGGGATGGATGACGCTGCATTACGACGTCCAGTACCGCAATGTCAACTCTGACCTGTGGGAACAGGTGGGTGTTTCATTTCAGTGTGCTTAAATACAACCTCAGTGGAATTTTAGTATCATATTAAATCATACATGCATGTGCATCAGTTAACTTCAGCACAGTTTATTTTCAATATATATTGATTGATTATTATAGTCAACTTTTTATTATTGTCAAAATGAAACATGAATGTTTCTTAGACGAGACAATTGTGATGCTGCAGCACCGCTTCTCGTATTTAAACCTTGTTTTTATCACCACAGGTCGACCTTGTGAAAAGCACACATCGGTCTATTTATGGGCTTCAGACTGACGTCAATCACGAGGTTCACGTCCGGTGCAAAATGTTGGGTGGAAAAGAGTTTGGAGCGTTCAGTGACTCTGTAATTGTGCACGTTCCATTTAAAGGTAAACACGCACTGCAAATGTTTACAGGCTGGATGACAAAAGCTCTTACAAACGCCATAAAAAAGGTTTTTTGAATTATTCCTGCAGAAGCTGCAGCTAAATGTCCTTGTCACCATTAAAAGACCTCTCTGCTTTCACCTAACAGCTCCCCCCCCTCCTCTGATGAGCATCAGAATCACTACATGGTTATATGTGTACAAGGCCAAATTAAAGTAGCATGAGCCCCGGGGCTACCACTTTATTAATGCCCTCCACCACTCCCTCAAGCACCAACACGACTCAACTACAGTTAGATATTTTTATTTTCTATTTTTATTTTATGTCTTGAGGTTGAGATTTTATGTCTTTTTAGGGCTTGAGCCCCCGCTAAGCCCGTGCATTAAAACGGTGGTTCCTGTGTGATCTTCTTAATGCTGTGATCAGAATGAACCAGTAGCCATGAGTGAATCCAGCCCCATTTTATGCCTAAATAATGCCTAAATATTTGTGAATTTTGCATTGATGAGACACAGTAAGCTATTGCACTTGTCAAAAAAAACAAGCAGAAGAACACGTTTCTTATCATTTACTTTCTTTTTGAAGACATGTCTCATATTTCTTAAAGACTCTTCTGTCCTGCTGCTACAAACAGTGTTCCCTCTCAAACAGTAAAGTAGAAGTTGACTCTTACATTAGTATTTCAGGTGTTTGGTCATAAATCAAAGTATGGGCACCACCAATATGTTTACAGTTCATTCTGTGGGGAACATAAATGTGTGTAGTGTTTATTGAATTACATGGCGAGCCATCAAATAGTTACAACGGGCCCCAGTGCACGCCATTATGACGGGCAGTGCACGATAGATATTAGTTATGAAGCACACAAACACACAATATTAAACATTTAAGGATATTAATACAATAATAATTAAAGCATTTATCAGAGGGATCCAGGTATCTACAGGTCTAAACCAGGTTATTCTAAATCCCCTTTCAGACATGCAAACATTTTATGTATGAAGGACAGAGCCATTACGTTAACAGACAGATAAAACCAGCAATGTTATGTATTTCTGAAAATGGCTTCTGTGCTTTATACATTTGTCTACATAAAACCTAAACATAGCCTTTCACTGCCAGTTTTTCATTTATCTGTTTATCTATTTTGATGATATGATATATTAAAGGGTAACTTTTGTTATTTTTTAAACCTGGGCTCTATTTCCCCATGTTTTTGTGTCTAACTGACTAAAGCGTGATTTATGCTTGCCACGTCTGCGAGAGTTGTGAAGGTCCGCACGGCCAAATTGACATCTCACCGTGCACATCCAACATTTTCCAACGACGCGGACGCACGGAAAATAGAGAACTTTGTGGAGTTTTGAGAATGTTGGTTTGACGCAAGGAGAAACCTGCACAGAGTATAAAAGATCTGTTCCTTTTCACAAGTTAGTGTCAGCTCATGTCTTGCGGAAAGTACAACCGAGCCTTAACGGGGACAACAATTTCTGAAATGAGTCCAGTATTGAGCGAAAACAATGTAGACGGCAGCTGCTCATGGGCTGCAATGCAATCCTACCTGGGCAAACCTTCCTTTACGTCCACTAAAAGGGTTTGTTTTTGCCACTGACAGGCTCTGATTGTTATTTTAAGTGACTAACAACATGATGGAAAGTGTCTCGCTCATGGAGAAGTCTGATTCTGAAATCTCACAAGGTGACATATTGCCGGAAGACAACGGCTGAGTCACTGCGAGTGCAGCGGGGCTTGAAGTTTTGTTTTGGAGTACATAAAGCGTAACTTAGTGTTATCTAAAAGATTTTCAATTTCATAGCTAAACACTTAGATGATTTCGACAACGTGGATGAGGTCGTTGAATTCCATGGCTGCCCCTATTTATTTATGCCAGAGAATTCGGATGAAGCGCTCCTACAACAACAAGCAGATTAGGGTGAACCAGCTGCTGCAAGGCCACAGAGCTTAGGAGACTGGTGGTGTTCCTGTTGGTGCTGTCACCCTCTGCCCACAGAGGACGAAGGCTGTAAAGAGTGGGACCTGTTGCTGCCCGATTCAGATATCACAGCGAGACTTTTCCTTGAGCAGAACTTTGCCCTCGCAGCTCGTTTTGTTTCTACTGGTTATGTTATCCCTCACTACTGGACCCATTGTGCCCATTAGTCACTTAGACACGAAAACATGGAACAATAGGCTCCAGAAAAATACCACTTACCCTTAAAGTATATGTGAATTTGTGTGCATTTCTTTTCCCAGTGTCGGAATTCCCAGTGTCGGAATTCCCAGTGGTGGCCTTGCTCGTCTTTGGTGCCTTGTGCTTAGTGACCATCCTGATGTTAGTTATCATATCGCAGCAGGAGAAGTAAGAATTTTACAACCATTCGGATTCCTGTGTAGGACTGGAAGGTTTATAAAAGCTTGGATAAATGAGAGTGCAGTATGCTGCTCAGTGACCAGCACACTGTGTGGGCTGCTAGACCTTGATAAACTGCCTCAGTGTCTGTGTTATCTTTCAATGTGTGGACAAGTGAGACATTCTGCATATCAGCTCTGCAATGTTTATACTGAGATCTTAAGTCAAGTGTGTTTTGTTTCCTGTTTGCATTTGTGTTATGTCAAATTTCACACGCCTTTTTTCTTCCCTAAGGTTTATGGTTATTCTTTTGCCTCCTGTTCCTGGACCTAAAATACGAGGAATTGACCCTGAACTACTCAAGGTATTCATCTAGATGTTATTATGCTCGACCATGACTTGTCATAACTTACTAGCACACTCTGTATTCAAAATGTAAAAGGGAAACCATTTTCAGGCTCACAGAACAGTTTCGTGGAGATATTTTAATTTTGATATATGAGAATAATGTCTCATTTTCAGGCCAATACTAAATAAAACCGTCTTCACCGTGGGACACCATATCTTTTTCAATGCATAGATAGCTAAGGTACATGTTCAAACACAGGGTTGCACAATACAATGTAAGTTGTAGTCCTGGTATGCTAGAAGAGCTAAAAAGCTAAACAAAAACATGCAGCGGATTAGTTGAGAAATGTCAGCCTAAGAAAAGATACTGCTCTGTAGTCTGGTGATAAGATAGCGAATACGTCTGTGTTGCTTGCCAGGCGGCAGCAGGGCGAACAGGTTTTGGCTGGCTATTGTCTTCAAGTATTCTTTGGACTCTGCGCAGGCACCCCACTTCTCCAATATCACCAATTAACCCGTTGGAGAGCCCTCCTGTCCTGGGCCGTGCACATCCCAAGCCAATTTGTTTCCAGTCAGGATGCTTTCTATTGTTCTACTGTAAAAGTTGACGAGAACTTGCCATGTCTATCTATATATGTCTATCTGTTAATCTGGTGCTTGTACCCATCCATACTCAATAGTGAGGTTTGTGTAATATGTTGAGATAAGTCCCAAACGTACAGGTCATTTTGTGATGATTTGAGCACCACTAACTAAATTCAGTTTGAGTCCATTGTGGTGGGGAAGTTTTAGAAACTCAAAAAGGTTTTGGGATATTTATTTCCTTGCTCATCTGTTACGTTGTTTGTTTCTCTCCTTTTTGTTTTGCTTTGAGCTTTGTAAGGGTTGGTCAGGCATAGAGGTGTTTCTGTGGGGAAGGTGGATACTCATGTGTGTTCTGTTGTTCACAATGTTGTATCTTAAAAAAATATTTTCTGTTTTTTGGGTTTACCCTTTAAGGAAACCTAGTTAGAACTATAATGTACAAAGTAGTTTCTGGGTACATGCTGCATCACTACAATGACGTCTGAAAAGGCAAGAAACTTGAGCAGTTAGATGATCAGACAGGTTTTACACAGTAACAGTTTATTCAGACTATCCAAACTGTTTTATTTGTAAAGTTAGCTGATCCAAGCTGTGTGCGCACGGTTAGTATAGTAGATCAAAGTTGAACCATGAAGAACCTTTTTGTTTCCAAATGTTTGGCCAACCTTTGGGCATGTTTAAAACCTTCAGACTGCTTGTGTCTTTTTATGTACCAGTTCTGAGCAAATACATTGTTGAGAACAATGTTACATTACTGACAGAAAACCTACAAAAATAAGACCGAACGCATATTGAACTGTAATTATACCTGAAGCAGCCAACCTAACTCACCAGCTGAATGTGACTCTTGAGTTTATCAACTATATTTTGTTAATCTCACAGAAAGGGAAGCTGAAGGAGTTGACGTCCATTCTGAGTGGCCCCCCTGAACTGAGGCCGGAGCTGTACAACAACGACCCCTGGGTGGAGTTCATCGATATCGACATTGAAGAGCATAACGACAGACTGACAGACCTGGACACGGACTGTCTCATGGAGCGCTCCCTGTCCTCCAACTGCTCTCCTTTCTCCATCGGCTTCAGAGACGACGACTCGGGCCGGGCCAGCTGCTGCGACCCAGATCTACCCAGTGACCCGGAACCGTCACCTTTCATTGGTCTCATCCCAAATCAAACCCACAGTAAGGAACCGTTGTGCCCAACCACCTGTGAGCCAAGCGCCGAGGCCCAGAGCCCCGCCACTGGGGAGCCTCGTGTTGTAGCACCGGGCAGAGAGGCGCTGTACACCCAGGTGAGTGAGGTGAGGTCATCTGGCAAGGTGTTGTTGTCACCTGAAGAACAGGCTGAGATGGTAAAAAGCATTGGGAAAGACATCATGGTGGGGAAAGAGAAGAAAGAGTTTCAGCTCATGGTGGTGAATCCAGATCATGGAGGTTACACCTCAGAGCTCAACGCAGGTAAAATGAGCCCCATGTTGTCCACAGGAGATATGAGTGAAACCTGCCAGACTGGAGAAGTCTTGAGTTCTTCACCATCTTTGTCGCGTTACCAGAAATCAGATACCACCCCCATGTCCCCTCTTCCCCCTGCTCCTGTCTACACCATTGTAGAGGGTGTTGGCCGGCAGAACAGCCTCTTACTGAGACCAAACTCAATACCTGCCCCCCAACTGATCATCCCAAAAATCATGCCAACACCGGACGGCTACCTGACCCCTGAACTTTTGGGAAGCGTCACACCATAGAGCAGCGGTGAACTGTGCAATGTCAAGATTATTCCAACAAAGGCACAGGCAAGCTTGGGAACAGCCTTTGAGATTGCTTATTGAGGGTCCCAAGGTTGAGTGTTGAATGTCAGTTTTCCTAAAATAGGTGGGAGGCCTCTGCCGGTCCTGCCACCACCTCTGACCTGCCGCTGCTCCCACTGACAGGGCTCTCTAAAGGGTTAGTTAGAAGTTTGGTATGAGGGAGGAAGAGCACATGTGTTTTACTGTACTTATGGAAAGGGCAAAGAGAAATTTGGATTCGTGTTGATGAATGCATGTTCAATATTCAGTCTACTTTAACTCTTCTGGTTTCATTTCAATCAAGCCCGTAGAAAAATAACTGGCTCTGGCAGCTAAATGCTCCGCTGTTTTCACCCGCTAGTTGCTCATTTTGTATTTCTGCATTTTGGTGCTCTGAGCCCAAAGAGACTAAACAGCTTTATAGACTTGCAGAGTTGCTGTGGTTTTGTCTCTACGAGTCATTTCATTCATACTGTATATATTTATAGTAATTGTACAGTGACATGGTTAATTCCTATCATTTTAAACATATCAAAGGCTTTCTTTTTAATAACATCAGTTCATGACTAATTGATATACTCTGGGAATCCAACATTTTTTATGGTTTTCATAATGTTTTCATTTCTTTTAAACCAATATTAGTGTTCTTTCACCGATTAAAAACCCAGCTTTTTTAAATACCACTTATTGGGGTTCATATATTATGTTGTTGCCAACACATGAACTCCTGAAGAAGTAAAAGAGCCTGACCTGTACTCGTTTCAAAGGATAAACATAAAAAAAGGAAAAACAATGAGATGCATCATACTTTGATGCAATTACAAACCATGATTTTTATTTATTTTATAAACTGTGAAATGTGTTCAGGGCTGACAACCAAAATATTTTTGGATTGCCAATTTCTGGTTGACAGCATTTATTACAAATGAAAAGTTGGGGATACATGGTCATCAGTGTTGAATTTGTACAGATATTGCATTTTAACTGTTCAAGTATTACAAATAAACGTTCATACTTTTGCCGTTTGTCTTATTAATATCAGCTGGTTTTAGACCGCACATCAGATGACTGCTTTTTTCAGTTTTGAGTGTTCTAAAGGAATACTGGTATGTCTTAAAAAAAGTCACAAATGTAAGTCATAGTAAGTCATAAAAGGTCATATTATCTTAAGTCTTTAAAAGTCCTGGTAAAGTTAGTCATAAAAAATAATTGTATAGAAAAGCATAAAAAATCAGTTTAGTAATTCAGAAAAAAGTTTAGTATGTCGAAAAAAGTCACAGTATATCAAAAAAGCTGTAATATAATTACAATTATTAAGTTTTTCAAAGAAATGATAGGAAAACTCCGAACAAGGAATAGCCTATCATGTTGAAAAAGTAATAGTATAGTATGTCGAAAGAATTCAAATTATAGTATATCAATAAAAGTGATAAAGTCTCAGTATAGTATTTTGAAAAAAGTCATAATATGTTGACAAAAGTCAACATAATATGTTTTAAAAGATCCCTAAAAACTAATTGTATAGTATGTCTAAACATGCAAGCAAAGTCATAGTTCTAAAATAATACATCTAAAATTAATTGTTTAGAAAAAAATTTGTAGAATATGTCAAAAAGAAAGAAATAGTATATTAAGTTTGAGAAAATCATTTAGAGGTTATAGTACAAAAAGTGATATAATAGAATGTTAAAAAGAGTCATATAAAGGACATAGTTGAGTTTGTCAAAAAATGTAATATTGTAGTACGTTGAAAAAGCCAAAAAAGTCTGCTTATATCGTATGTTGAAAAAAGAGAAAAAATCTCATAGCAGAGAAAGTTGAAAGAGAAAGCCCCAAAAAAGTCATAGTTTAGTATGTCAAAAAAAAGTCATAGTATAGTATGGAGAAAAATGTGTGATTGCTGCCGCACCGCATCTCGACTGCCGAAAGGCAGACAGACACTCAACAGACTGGTTAAGAAGGCCAGCTGTGTCCTGGGATGCCCCTTAGATCCAGTGGAAGTGGCGGAAGAAAGGAGATTGATGGCTAAACTATCATCCCTGGAGAACATTTCCCACCATATGCAAGACACTCTAACAGCACTTTGCAGCTCCTTCTGTGACTGCTTCACACGTAGTGTGTGAAGAAGAGATACGCTGTCACACTGCACAACCTGCACTGCTCTTAACATCAGAATCAATATCAATGTATGTATGTGCAATATAAATACACTGTACTATATAAACACTTCATATTTTGTACCATATATAGACAATAATGTGGATCCAACCACTTAATTGGACTGTATTGTATGTTTAACTTAATTTTTTTTAGTGGTTTACTTATTTTGTGTATTAGTATTTGTACCTGTTTTTTTGTTTTTTTCCACTGATGTCTCTTGTTTCACTGTCCACTTTGCTGCTGTAACCCTGCAGAATTCCCTTGCTATGGGACTAATAAAGGATTATTTAATTTCATGGTAGAAATTGTTTGTTTTTTTAAATCATAAAAAAGTGCATCGAAAAAAGCCCCCCAAAAAGACTTATTATAGAATGTCGAAAAAAAGCATATCAAAGTCACAGTATGTTGAAAAAAGTCAGAAAAAGTCATAGTATAGTGTGTCTGAAACATTTTTTTCTTATTTTATTTTATTTGAATGTTTACCCATCATAGTTCTGCATGCAGATGCATCAGTGGGATGCTTGTTCCATCTCGTGTAAGATGACAGAGTCGACCCCAAACTTCACCACTATAAATGGCACTTGGTTGGATTTTACACAGTCAGATATTTTTGTCCAAACTCTAATTGGCATGTTTATTTCGTATTTGTATTGCAAGTAAATCCAAGTAAATCCAATCAATTGCAATAGGGAGACGCAGCTCACGTGGTTGATGAAGACAGGACATAGATATGTTATGTATAGTTTATAGTATGTTGGCATAATTGCAATGTGAAATCAAAACTATCCAGATCAAATACATACAGTTTAACGCAAACATGAAACTTGGTTCGGACTTTCAGGTAACTGTATTCAGATACTTCGGACCTCTCTGTGCTCATTTATATGAATCAATTATTTTTGCAGGAGCACATTAGCATAGCCGTGTACCTGCACGTGCAGGGGGAGCATAACTTTAACTTTAACAGGCAACCACATACTTCAGTAGCCAGCAGCTAAAGAAGACTTTTAGCTGGCTTAATGTCAGTGTAGCTTTAATGAAACTGAAGCAGTAATACGATACTTGTACTTCTTCCAGTCGTTTGCTGTTTCCTGGACTGAAATGATGGAGTTAAACGGTGTTAACCTCGACAGGTGTATGGAGGAGTTTACTCACCTGGAACGGGTAAGGTAGCTAACGTTAGCTATGCTAACGCACTGGTAGCTAACTAAGGATGTCTCTGCCATTTGATTTACTTGTCTGCTTTTCCCATTTTTCTTCCTACTTTATAAGACTTAATATTTAGTTTGAGAATGAGTTGTAGAAACATAGTCACTTAAATACAGATAGGTAGCCATAGGCCGGCTTAAGGAGTAACGTTAGCTAAACTGTTAGCCTCGTAAATTACCTTAACCACAGTAATTAATTACTGTAACAGTAGTTACTTGTTTGCTGTTTCCTAACTGTGTCCACATTGTATTGTAGAGTATTTATTTAGTGTTTGAATTCAATTATTGCGTGCTATTGTGTTAAGATAGATATATAGATAACGCTGAACTAAAGATTCAATGCTAAACCATATACTGTGGGATGTATTGAAGTAACTAGTAACTATAACCTGACCCACGTACCTCTTTGAGGGGCCATACAGACAAGTCTAAAGTGTTGAGTGTTACCACTTGCCTTTACTGTTATGAAACAGAAAATGACAGAGGTTAGTGGCAGAATCAACATGTTGGAGATGATGCTGGAGGATGCCAATAGACTCTTGAAATTCTATCAGACCAAGGAGAATAGTCTGAATGAGGGTGAGTATCTTCATTTTGAACCTGGAGTTGTATTTAACCTTTTTACTACAACATTCATTTTGATTTATTCAAGGTCCTTGGTGGGCTTGATTTGGTGTATGTCTCCCTCTGCAGGTGATTCTGCCATCGACAGGCCTCCTGATCTGGCTTTTCCAGTTCAGGAAATTGGTTGTGTAAACTCTATGTGCCTCATTGAGATGTTTACACTGGAATCTGTACATATACATGGCAGCTAAAAACCTTTAAACAGACATGACACGTTGCTGATTCTATTGCTCCACCTGTTGCAGAGAGAGACAGTCTCCTCATCACAGTGAACAGACTGCAGCAGACTCTGCAGGAGCAGTGCAACCTCAGAGGTAAATGCAATAACACACTAGGCACACACACAGTACATATTTATATATATAATACCACTGGATACTTAAAATACTCAAATCAGTCTTTTTTAAGAATAAATATCTATACTACATAGAGCCAATCCTAAGCACTCATGTAGCACAGGTTCAACACAAGTTAAAGAAGAAGATGGAGTCTACAACAGATATACTGAATGGTTCTAGATGTAATAGTGCTGCTGCGTGATATCCATGTAGTAGTGTAGTTATAATTGGGATCTATAATCGTCAATAACGCACTATAGCAATTTACACAAAGTGAAATTATAGATGAAATTCTTTGTAAGGATTTTCATCGTATATTTTGAAACTGTTCATATTGTAGTAGAGAACGAGAGACTGACGAACGACATGGGGGAAATGAAACAGCAGAGTGAGAGAAGAGCAAAGGTAAGAACTGAAGCAGGAGTGAACACTGGCAGAACTTATCAAAAGGTAAATTAAATACAGCAGAAAGGTGTGGATAAGTTCATGTTCTCTGTATGTTGTGATATGAATATTAGGAATGTCCAGAGACATTTATTAATCTATTTGTGCTGTACACAACATCTGAGTTTCCACGGGAGACAGTTACATTGTCCGTTGATTATTTCCGTAAACATCGCCCTCATACTGTTTAGCTGCCAACATCCAGACAAAAGAAGCTCTGAGTTGATAAAAACACATTTAATTGGGTTGCCTTCAATTACTACTGTGGTCACATAGCAATGCTTAGCTTTGTGAGCTCTACAGTACTAACGACATGATTACTCGCCCTCCGCTCCACTTTTGGTCAAATAATCTATATCAAATGACAGTTGTGATTTACAAGTTGTATTTTTGTTGGTTTCAAAACCTTAAAACTAGGTAGCGATTTCTAAATGTTTGCTTAGAAGTAATTTCAACTAAAGATGTGTGGCCATCAGGATGGAGAGGCTGAGCTTCAGAGCCTCGTCAGTGACATGAGGGCCGAGGGAGAGAGACACAAGAGGGAGCTAGAGACTGTACGGCAGCAGTGCAGAAGAGAGCTGGAGGACGCCTGCAGGGAGAGTTTTCATCAGCGTAAGAACACACAAAACAGATGCTGATGTTGTGAGATGTTTCAGGGAATACTTAGATCATATATGTACAAAATAACCTCGCTGCAGCCCCACAGTCGTAATGTAAGACATAGACATGGGATCAGTTATATCTAGAAATTAAATAAAGTTTTGTAACAGCATATTCGTCTGGGGCCTGCTGTTGACAGTGCAAGCTAAAGATGCTGAAGGAAAGAATCTGCTGGAGAGAAAGGATCTGGATCTGGAGGAGTTAAAGAAGAGGCTGAAGGACCAGGAGAGGGAGAGGCAGAGCGAGCTCCTGAAGTTACAGATGGAGGTAAATTAAACGCTACTTCCAACAGTGTTACCGGAGGAACACAAGAATCTCTGTGTAATGAGCAGAAACCCCAGAAATGATTTCAAGTTTGAGCTTCATCTCTGCTGTTGTCTTGAGGAACCAGTTCCAGCTTCCCCTTTTAAGCTCGTTGGTGTTTTGCTGTGTACGTTTTTGGCAGTTTGGTGCGAAGTTAGCCAGAGTGCAGAGCACAGCTCAGTGGAGCCAGCAGCAGCAGCAGCAGCAGCAACAACACGGCTCCAACCTTCTTCCACAGAGCGTCTTCAAGAGGGTGAGCGTCCCACACAGTGCCTTTTACATCTCTTGTTATACATCACAGAGGCAAACTAACAAGGCACATAACAGGAACATGTTTACAAACTGTAAACACGTTTGTGCCGGTGCTTGGACAGAATCGGTGTGTAAGTGATGTCACTGATGGCAGTTTGTAAACTTGGCATGTGAACCTCAGCTCAGACCAAAGCCAATTTGAATTAATCGAACCTTGACGTTTCAACTTGTTAGTCCTCTTTTAAGCAACATCAGGCTCATTCCAAGCTTTGTCTGACAGATGAAAGTCTGAAGAAGAAAGCCTTCTTAAATGTAACCTCAGGTTACTCTCCCGAATTTGACCTCTGCGGTGTTTTTGCTCGTCAACATGCTGACTGTGCAAACGTGATTTTTAGCTAGCGATCAACGCACACACCAAACATCGACTGTGCACCCAAAAACCTGCAAGAAACTTTTATTTTCCTCCACTTTCTCTTCTCATAACACCGAGAGACAGAGCAGAAACTCACACAGACGCGTCTTTGTCTCCGGTTGTACCGCTCAGAACAAATTCATGTCTATTTGCATCCACTTGCGTCTTTGCATCGACATCAAATGTTCAGACGCACTCCCTCTAAAGTTTGCTTTGTGCTCAGCCGAACACACACGTCTGTTCTTTTGAAAGTCATCAGCAGCCGTGTGTCTCGCATCATCATCATCATCATGTGCCAATTTATTTATTTATCAGAATATAGGTCAAACATTCTCTAATTCCAGCTTCTCAAATGTGAGCTTTTCTCTGTTTCATATCCTTGTGAATTGAGGAGCAATTTGAAGTTGTCACCTTGGGGTCTGTGAAATTGTGATGTGTACTTACACACCAAGCTAATCAAGGAAATACTCATTTTAGAAATAATAAATGATAATGAAAACAATCAATACAGCCCTAAAAAGGGCCTTTGATTAGCTATCACTACACAGAAAGGACACCGCGCTCTGAGCACACAGACAATCATTTGCCTGGTTGCAGCCGTCCTCAATAATCCCTGGATAAAAGATTTAGAATTAGCGGGTATATTTAATACATCTTGTTTGCATTGCCTTGTTCTAGTGTAGTGTTTGTGTTCGTGTGTCCTCAGAAGCTGCAGTTCTTCCAGGAGGAGAAGAACAAGGAGATTGTGGCTCTGCGTCAGAGGATCAAAGAGTTGGAAGAGAACCAGCGTGCCGGCGGCTTTAATGACGGCCGTCTGAAGAAGAGAAAGATCTAGTTTGATTAAAAGGCTGGCAAAGCTGCTGACCTGTCAGCTCTGCAAGGTGCATGATTCTCCCGACGTTCCAGGGACCAGAAGTGACGACAGTTTGTTTTTTGGAAATTTCCAGATTAGTATTTTAGTATCAAAGCAAAGTTCAGAGTTGCTTATTTTACAGATCACTTATTTAACTATAGTGCTTCTTGTGCACCGCCCTGCTTGCAGGGGACCAGTGTGTAGAGAGTTTCATGTAAACGCAGGCCATATTCCTGTTTAAGGCTTTAATCCAATCAGACGCCTGCATGGGTGGGAGGCGCTGAAGCAGGAGCAGAGCACGTCTGGGTGAATCAGTCAGCTGGAAGGTTAATCCCATTCAGGGAATTAGATCAGTTCATTTCCTTTCACTCAAAAGAAAAATAAATCATTTAACTTATTTTTTCCATTTATTTCAGATTCCTTGGAGTCAAACTTGTGTTCCACTATTCTTGGCATTTATTAATAACTTTATGAATTAACTTTTTGTTGAAAGTAAAAGTCTGCAGAGATCGTAGCGACGCAGTCGTCCTGAGCAGCACTCCTGCTTAACTGATTTAAGCTTAATACCAAGATCCGTTTCTGCAGTTGATTGTGCACAATTTAAGGTATGTTGGATGTTAGAGGTCTGGATACAAATTTGAGAGTAAAAAAAAATTATCTGAGCGACAGCTTGGCGAATATTTGTTTTGAATCATTATGTTTTTTAACAAATAGCATAAACCAACTATTTTGATAATTTTAATTTAATTTTAATTTGGTAATTTAAGAATTGAGAGAGGAATTGATTGGCAGAATCTTTAAAATGTATTTATTATGCAAATGTAACAAATACTCCCTAGTTCCAGATTCCTAAATGTGAGGCTTTGCAGCTTTTCTTTGTCGTATATGATAGTAAGCTGAATATCTTTCTGTTTTAGACCTAAACATGTTTACAGATACCGGAATATCTGCGATAAGCTATATTAAACTACACTTGCATTATTCAAAAGAAAGCAGATTTGGTGTCTTTTGACTGTGAGGCGTGTCCCTGCTGTCGATCCGTCCTGCTCCTCACCGGGACAACGCACCTGTGTGAAGACGCTCCGCCTGGTGACGCGTTGACCTTGTGCTTTTATAATCTCCTTATCTGCGCTGCTCAGCCAGTGTCTGCAGGGGACAGAGAGCTGAGCTCCATGGGAACATTGGGTAACACCGTTGCATAACATTTCATCTTCACAAAAGCCAAGAGATCCACCTATAGCTGCACAACACAGCCTCTCTCTGCTAAACCTGCAAAACCAAAGCATGCTGGTCACATGTGTACAAACTGTGGATAGAAATACAATGTGCACGTTTACCGCCCGCTGGATCATTTTAGCATAATTGTTGCCCTGAACTGACATTAGGATTGGAGATGCCAATCTATTGGCACAGACCCAAATTTGAACAGGATTTGAGTTCATTACACCACCTTAATCCTTCATGGGCGAGGAGGAGTGGGTGAAGATAGGCAGAGGTGAGCTGTGAGGGGTGTGGCCAGCAAAGCTTGTGTCGTCAGTCCACTTGGCTAGTGGCTCAAACATGCGCGCCCCCTCCCCTCCTGTGTTTTTGGCCATCAGTGTACTGTAGTGTGTTGGGGAGGACTGAGAAGGAGACCGCGTTCTGGAGACCACCGTTCTGCTCAGCGTACCGGGACCTTCTGCAATGATTTTGGCACAAAAAGTCAGACATCCACATGCAAGGGACGCAAATTTATTCGTCTGGGTCCTACGGGGCCAAAAGAACAACTTTCTATATATTGCTGCGTGCAATGGATTCTACGGCTTTGTTTTGATGCAGTGCAGAACTTTGGAAACTTGGTAAGAAAACAAGAAGATCGCTTTCTATATTCTTCCTATGTTCTCGATCTATTATTATAATACTTCCTGTGCTTAAGCCATCCAAGAATCTGTATTTAATGTGTCTAAATCTAAAGTGATATGGTTTCAGTGAACACCTGGATGAAGAATGTGTGGACTACATTGTTGAACTCCCTGCTACATGTCCAAACCATGAGCTGGTAAATGATCGTGTTTTCAACCTGCTGCAGAAATGCCTGGAGGCCAGTACCAGGTGGCAATCACCAAGCGGCACCACAGCCGCTACAGCCTGACGGACGAATCCGAAGCCGGCCCGGACGACGAGAAGGCCGACGGCCCGCCGCGCCTCACCCCCCTGCAGAAGCTCACCACCGACAAGGACGCGAAGACCATCAAGGACCTGATCATAGGCCGCAGGGTGGGCTTCTACAAGGTCCGCGGGGAGATTGGCTGTGGGACCTTCTCCAGGGTCAAACTGGCTTTCCACGCTCTGACTAAAGGTAGCTGCACATGCTGTCAGACTTTAGCTAACTAACTGTGTAGGCAGTAAGATAACAATTGATTAATTTGATGTCCTTGTTGACAGCCAGACTGTTGTCTGATGTCTCCGTGTTGCTTTATTCGTAGACAAAGTAGCCCTGAAGATCCTGGACAAGACCAGGTTGGACGGCCAGGCCCAGCGTCTGCTCTCCAAGGAGATCAGCAGCATGGAGTGCCTGCAGCACCCGAACGTGGTCTGTCTGTACGAGGTGGTGGAGACGCCAAGCCGCCTCTACCTGGTGCTGGAGTACGCAGGCGGAGGAGACCTCCACAACAGGATCTACACCGAGGGAAAGATGTCTGACAACGCCGGCAAGATCACGTTCGCCCAGATCCTGGCTGCCATCACATATATGGTCAGTGACATGGAAACTCAAAAATGTTGCTGTTATTTATTTATTTATTTTATTAAGTCACGCTCAAATCAGACATATTACCTGCTATGTTCATTGCTGCTGGGATTTCATGAGCTCAACTACTCTAAATACAGCAAACGACTAAAATTTGTGTGTTTTGCGTTTTGCTGTGCAGCACAACATCAACATCATTCACCGGGACCTGAAGGCGGAGAACGTTCTGTTCACCAGCAGCGGCTGCATAAAGGTGGCGGACTTTGGATTCAGCACGCAGGTTTCAAACTGCAACGTGGCCCTCGACACCTTCTGCGGCTCGCCGCCCTACGCCGCCCCAGAGCTCTTTAGGGACGAGTGCTACCTGGGGCCCCCAGTGGACGTGTGGGCCATGGGGGTCCTCCTTTTCTTCATGGTGACCGGCTCTATGCCGTTCCGTGCTGAGACCATGGGGAAGCTGCGGCGCTGCGTCATCGAATGCGCGTACACCGTCCCTCCATGGGTGCCCGGTCCCTGCCAGAGGCTCATCAAGGGCATCTTGAAGAAGGCCCCCGCTCAGCGCTACGCCGTCGACCAGATGCTGGGCTGCGATTGGCTCTTACCCGTGCAGTTTCTCTGGCCTCCTGAACCAACGAGCCTGGACTCGGAGCGTGGGGACCTGGCGGAGGAGGTGGAGGAGGAGGTCAGGGGCTTGCTGGAGGAGCTCGGCTTTTCCACGGAGCACCTGCAGAACAATCAGCTCAAAAACAGCCGCAGCCCCGTGACCGGGGTTTATCGCATCCTGCTGCACCGAGCCCAGAAGAGGAGGGGTTGCGACAGCCCCCCAGTGGTCCGAGGGATGGTGAGGGACCCCAAGAGGGAGGGGCTCCGGGCCTACAGGGGCCTCAGACACACCTCCAAATTTTGCGTGCTTTCATAAAAGACTGGTCGAGACACTGCAGCAGAGTTTTTATAAAGGCTTTTTTATACAAACATGACATTTGTAGCCATAGTGTTTTTTAAATTTTATATTTTATATTGTTTGTGGGGAAGTGACTTGTTTTTTTTTACTAACGCTTACTTTAAAATATGTTTAATTTCCTCCAGTGCAACTTTTTTGAATGACCTAAGATATATATCAAAGTGCCTGATGAAGTTTAACAAAAGTCAAAGTTTTAAAGAGTCATTTTTTACTTCAAAAATTATTTAATTTTAATGATTTTAGAGGCCTGCAGAGATTAAAATATCCAGAATTATTAAGAAGAAAAAGGTTAGAGATAAGTGAAATAAATAAATGTCACTTTATTTTTTTTCCTTTTGGACCCTTTTGGACCCAGATTTGAAGAGCCAAACAACCCAGAAGAAGTTTACAATACTGTCACGGTTATTCATTTTCTGTGCAATAACTCTTTCATGCAAATATATGTTTGTGCACCTGATTTGAAGAGTGCACAGAGAGTGGGTTCCTAAATATGAACATTGTACGTTTGTAAAAGTGAACAAACCCTGTCCCCTGAAAAGACTCCTATTGTTCATAAAAACTAAATAAATTGTTGGAAAAAACTGACGCGTCACGCAGCTTTCATTGTTGAGGCGCTGAGCAGGTGGCTGCTGCTGCAACCAAACAGAGCCGAGTTCGCGTCTCTGTGTTTACAGAAGTTTCACTGAAGTGCTGCTAGTAAATAACAGTCACGACAGCAGCTGGTAGGACACCAGATGATTCTCGGGACCCCTCTCCATCTCCACAAACCAGACAGACCCAACCCGGCTGTCCCCCTCTGGCACTGGGAAACTCACTCACCCCGGACTCCTCCCAGCCCTGCCCTGCCCGACCCCCACCAGCAGGAAGCGGCAGATGGTGCGGCGTGGCTGCGGAGACATCTGCAGGCCAAACAATAGGCGCTCTGTGCGGACCGCTGGAGCTGACAGGCCTGGAGCTCCCGCTATTGTGCGCTGCGCTATAGACATGCAGATGAGGTCTGCTGGAGGAGGGACCCAGTTTTTTGTTTTTCTTACTGCAGGGACAACAGCCAGCAGCCTCAGCGCCTTCCATGCAAATCTGTTGAGTCTGAAACTTTTGTTAGTTTCATAACCACCCCTCCTCTCTGACCCCCCCCCAACCACCACCACCTCCACCCAAACACACACAATGCACACAAAAAGTGAAAACACATTACACCAAAATATATGGACTTTTTGTTTTTTATTGAGCATTTTCACTGACGATTTCAAAGCATTTCTACAGTGTTACAAGGATATACATGACTTTGTTTCAAACATCAGGTCAAATCTTTTCATTTTTTTTACATTTCTGTCTTCAGTAAATAAGTGAATGTTTATAAGACAATCTTACAAGTTCTCATCATTTTTAACATTTACTTTATTTCTCCATTTTCTAAAGTGAAACCTTTAGAGAATAAACTTTGTTTTCAATGTTTTTTTTTTTTTTTAACATTATTTGTCATCGTTACATTTCTAAAGTGAAACCTTTAGAGAATAAACTTTCTTATTAATGTGTTGTTTTTTTAACATTATTTGTCATCGTTAAATTTCTAAAGTGAAACCTTTAGAGAATTAAGACAATTCTGGAAAGTGGGAAACATTTTCGCTGATTGCAACTGTTGTCATGTTGCTCAGCAAAGAGGACATCATTAAAAAAGTCTTTTTTTTAAGAACGCCTCTTCCTCAGCACCGCTTCTTCTCCTGCTGCGCGTGCTTCAACGTGCAACGTTCGCTCTGTGGGACCACAGGACGCAGAACTCGCATCTCCTTCCTCTCCAAACCTCATCCACACAAAGAATGAGGGTCGATGTGTCGCTCTTGCGGCATACCTGACCTCATTCACATAAAGAATGAGAGTCATCTTGGCATGGACGGGACAAGAGGCGACGGTTCACGGGGGGGGGGGCCCTCTCGGGGCCGGCGCCGTGCTGCCTGGACGGGAATCCTCCTCAGGAGTATCCAGGGATGAGCAGAAACAGGGTCATCCTGTTCATCAGGATGAGTATTTCCAGATAAGAAGCTTCACAGCATCTGAGCAAGAGAGGAGCCGAGGCCCAGATCAACGCTCGGGGAGGCTGATCTCAGGAACCCAGTCGCTCAGACTGCGGCTCTCCTCGCAGAACAGGTGCAGCTTCTCCAGAGCAGGGTCCTCCCAAGACCCATCAGCTGGGTTCTGTTCAAACAGGAAGAGGAAAGAGGCTTTAGTTGTGTGTTCCTTTCACACAAAAAACATCACGTAGCCTATAGACTTGTGAAATGATCTATAATCACACAATCTGGTTATCTGAGCTCTACATACCGTGATGAGGACGCAGTGAGCATCTTCAAGCTGCTCCGCCTTGTCACCAACAATCTCAGCCAGACGCTGCATGTCGCTCACTCTGACGATGCTGATGTCGTTGTCGAAGCAGAAGGATTGGATGAGGGTGAAGTGGATCTGCAGAGCGATGTCGCACTGGAAATCCTCATCCATGGCCAGGACGCAGAAAGACACACTGTCCGGGTCACTGTGGAGACAAAACAAAGGACAAAAGATCATGAGATTTCATCCAAACGATCTGGTATGATTGATACAAAATGCAGTAGGCTAAACGGTAAATCTTCAGCTGGGAGTTTCATACTTACAGATTCATAACTTTTGCGCACTCGTAGACACCAACGGTGAGGGCGCCGTTGTCTTGAGCGGTCACCAGGACCTCCTCCATGGCTTTGCCGGCGCACTGAGCACGCTCGGCGGGTTTCTGGATCAGAACTTCCTCAAAAGTCATGATGAAGATATTCAAAGCAAAGGGAGAGCTTCAGAACGTTTGTTCCGAGAGTTAATCCGAAAGAGAGCAGAGTGCTTTCACATCTGCAGCCTTCCTGTTTTATACTCTCCAGCTCGTGCGGCGCAGTGAAAGCGCTGCGCCCTGATTGGCTAAAGCTGAATGGTGTATTGGTATGATAATGCTTTTGTCGCACTCCGGCTCGTGGCAGATTGATGGGGGTCATCGAGTCACGCACGCTCCCCCTCTGAGTGCAGCAGCCTGCCTGAAACTAAAAATAGCCCCATTAAAGTAAAAGTTTGATCACTCTGGAGCACTTTTACTTTTGCAAATAATTGAAAACACAGCCGGTGATTCTTGTTTGCAGAGATGCATGCCGCTGAACATATTTTCTACTTTTACAAGCATTTATAAAGTCGTATAAAGTGCATTCAAGCTTCATGTTGTCCTTTTTAGAAACGAAAACGAGATTTCTAGACCAATTCAAGCCGCACGAGCCTCCTTTCAAACTCCAAAACATTAAGTATCAACTTTGCGAAAAGAAAACTCAACAAACTCTCCCGACATTTTCTTGCATTTTAGGTTTTTGGTAATAGTATTGCAGCAATACATGGAGAAAGTGTGAAGCGACCCTCCCCCCTACAGCAGAGAGAAAGGGCAGGTGTATGATGCCATCTGTGGACTAGAGGCTGCCCATAAAACGGCCTCATTGTGCGCACAGAAGCCCTCTATTATCTTGGTCCCCCATACAAATGCAAATGACTAGCGCGTGCCAGAACGCTGTGCGTGCTGCGCAATCTGGGGCTGCTGGCCTGTGCTGACCACGTGGCCATCAGCTGTCCAGAAAATCCTTGCTCGGTTTTTATTTATTTACTCTGGGGACTTCAGGGGCCACACGGACTGAATTCTACAGAAAGAAACTTATTGCACTTTCAGTTTAAGGCCATTTTGTTTGGTATTTGGTGTTTGGATCCAGCAAATGTCTAAATATGTGATTTTATTTAAACCTATTTCTGACAACTCTGTTCATTTCCAATCACTTTTAAGAACAGCGAAAGTTTTACTCACTGATCTGGTTACATTTGGTATATAAAATTTTTACTAATCGAACTGGTTACATTTAGTATATATTGTAATTATACATTAATGTCCTTATCCGTGCCTTTTAAATAAACTTGTTTTGACAACCTGCTGTTCATTTACGATCATTTTTACGCACAACGAAACTTTTACGCACGGCTCTAATTCCTCTGCTCCACGGATGCAGCTCTCTAAGAGCTCGTGCTTTTGGGTCCTATTTTATCTGCATAATAATTTAAAACAGACCTTGCATGAAGTCAGGCCTGCTGCCACTGCTGCGTAAATGAGAGGAGGGGAGCAGGAGTGGAGAGGATGTGCAGGCGACACAGGTTGGCGGTGATTGATTCAGCGCTATTGTTCTGCGGGAGGCAGAGCAGCAGATGGAGAACTGTCGCTATGAGGGACCCTCCCCTCTCTCCTAAACCCAGGTCAACCCCGACCCCAGGGCGCGCCGATCTTTTGTCTACAAGTCTCCACATTCGCCGGGCTGTTGTCTGAGTTTTGATTACATTTGAATGCCAAAGAGGAGAGCTTATGGTCTAAACTTTCACGATGAATACGTGCCATCTCCATAAAGATGCCAGACGTGTAAATGCAGATACAAATCACTTTCAGTTTGAGCTGTAAACACGTACGAGAATGCCGAAAGTGTGTTTTGATAAACAACAAAACTATTATCTGCATTACTGCAGCAACAACATTAATTGTTTATTTCGCTTTCAGTCTCTGCTGCGTGCAGCAGCAGCCCCATCAGCGCATCAGCTGGTGGCGATGCTTACATTTGGGCCGACATTGGATTTGGATCTATCTAGCTGATAGAGACTGAAACAGAGATATTTAAGGAAGGATCAGCTTGCATGTCCACAGGGCAGGCGCGTGCAAATCGATACCGACCTATTGTTGCTCAAGCACATCTGCCAGACGGAGGCCTCCCCGGCAGCGCGCGACAGGTGTTGGTGGCCAAAGCTCTTTTCTGGTGACCTGCGGCGACTCACTAAAGAACGTGTCTAAAGCTGCAGGATAAGATGTTTAGACTTTTTGGTGTGTGCAAACACGACCTGTGTTTAGGGAAAACATAGGCGAATAGTTAAGAAGGAATGTCAGAGAATCGTTCTTTTTTATTGATCAAATACATGTTTGTGAGCAATTCAACATGCACAACTCAATAAGTGATCTAGCTAAACTTATTTTGCTTAACCTCAAAACTTTAAAATCATATTTACATCTGATCAAAAAACTGCCCTCGCGCCAAGCAGGTGCTGTCTGACTTCCTTTGTCCACCCTTCGCTTCGCCTTCCCTCCGGGGACAGATGGTATCTCTCGGTTGCTATGGAGCGTGATGCAGACAGAGAGATAAAGCACGCAGGCATCTCCAGATGCCACGCGCCTCAAGTGAGGCCTGGATTTAGGCATGCAAAGCAGCGGCGCGTGCCGCGTGCGTACTGCGCAATCTACAACAACAAAAAAACAGTGCATGCAGCAATACTGGCCATGAGTTATAAGTCTCTCTGACATCCAATTCAATTAGGATGGTTGCTATGTTGCATTACGACACTTAAAACAGTACCAAACTGTTACTTGTATGCTAAATAAGTTCCAAAATGTTATTTTTTATGCTTTTATGATCTGGAAACGTGTCGTCTGCAAACATTATGTAACTTCATGAGAGTTATTTGGAGCACCATGCTAGTGTTTTTGTAAATTCTAGTCAACCATGTGTACTTGTGTATGCATACTGCATAGCTTTTCATTTTGAATGTGTTTTTCCAGGCACCCTTGGTTTCCATTACAGTACGTAAACATTGCAAAATCTCACTAATTTGACAAACTGTAACTTAGATGAGGTAAGAACAGTCAGAACAAAGTTAAATTATTGTGGCGGTTTTACAGGAAAAGACACAATGCAGTGACAAAGAAATGTCATGAATAATAGAGTTGAAGTGAAACCCTCAAAATGTTTTACATTTTCTGTTTTGTTGCTATTTCTGCATATTTTGAGATTCAAGGTCAAATTTGAAGATTTATTTCCATTCTAGTCCAGGCAGCCAATCATTCCCATCCATTTTCTTTACAGTAGAAAATCCAAAAAGCAGACAAGTAAAAGTCACTTGAGGCAAGGAACCCATCATATATAGATAGTAAACGTCAAATCTGCAGAAATGTTGGAAATGAATGGAAGTCAATGGCTGCCTGGAATGTCAAAAACACAACATTGAAACATCCCACTCAATGGCATGGTTTGCAAAATGTTCAGCTGTGATGTAAAGTGCTGTAGATTGTGAACATGGACAACCTTGTATGGTTCCTGTTTGAATGGGAGGTATTGGTTGCTTCTAATTCTTCCAGAACTTGGAGGACTTTGACGACAGTGTGGTCTCCCTGTGTGGTTTCATTATTCCTGTAAGCTGAAAGAAACATTTCAAAAGGTCAGAGTTTCTACATCTGATCCTTTCAACTAAAACGTCCCCCGACTTTCTGAGACTTTTCTATAGGCACGCGTCCCTGAGGGTGGGGCGGGGGCTGCAGGCCTGCTGTAGTCATTGTTTCCCAAACGGCCAATCAGAGAGTGAGCGTGTACCGGGTCTGCAGTATAAATGCTGGCAGAGCCTTAGAGGAAGCACAAACACTCTTCTCTGGACTTTCTGACCACATCAGCTGAACCTTAAAGCTAAACTATCACCATGCAATCTCCTGGGAAATCTCTGAAGGAAGCTCTGCTCTGTGCTCAGAGCGAGGATCGACTCACTGTTGGAGTCTACGAGAGCGCTAAAATTATGACTGAGTAAGTAAACTAAACATGACTTGAATATGACTTTGGCATCCTCTACGACCAGCCGACATGATCCCTCTCTAACAGCAGCAGCTAACAGGTGACTTTTCTTTATCCACAGTGACCCGGACAGTGTGTCTTTCTGCGTCCTGGCCATGGATGAGGATTTCCAGTGCGACATCGCTCTGCAGATCCACTTCACCCTCATCCAGTCCTTCTGCTTCGACAACGACATCAGCATCGTCAGAGTGAGCGACATGCAGCGTCTGGCTGAGATTGTTGGTGACAAGGCGGAGCAGCTTGAAGATGCTCACTGCGTCCTCATCACGGTATGTAGAGCTCAGATAACCAGATTGTGTGATTATAGATCATTTCACAAGTCTATAGGCTACGTGATGTTTTTTGTGTGAAAGGAACACACAACTAAAGCCTCTTTCCTCTTCCTGTTTGAACAGAACCCAGCTGATGGGTCTTGGGAGGACCCTGCTCTGGAGAAGCTGCACCTGTTCTGCGAGGAGAGCCGCAGTCTGAGCGACTGGGTTCCTGAGATCAGCCTCCCCGAGCGTTGATCTGGGCCTCGGCTCCTCTCTTGCTCAGATGCTGTGAAGCTTCTTATCTGGAAATACTCATCCTGATGAACAGGATGACCCTGTTTCTGCTCATCCCTGGATACTCCTGAGGAGGATTCCCGTCCAGGCAGCACGGCGCCGGCCCCGAGAGGGCCCCCCCCCCGTGAACCGTCGCCTCTTGTCCCGTCCATGCCAAGATGACTCTCATTCTTTATGTGAATGAGGTCAGGTATGCCGCAAGAGCGACACATCGACCCTCATTCTTTGTGTGGATGAGGTTTGGAGAGGAAGGAGATGCGAGTTCTGCGTCCTGTGGTCCCACAGAGCGAACGTCGCACGTTGAAGCACGCGCAGCAGGAGAAGAAGCGGTGCTGAGGAAGAGGCGTTCTTAAAAAAAAGACTTTTTTAATGATGTCCTCTTTGCTGAGCAACATGACAACAGTTGCAATCAGCGAAAATGTTTCCCACTTTCCAGAATTGTCTTAATTCTCTAAAGGTTTCACTTTAGAAATTTAACGATGACAAATAATGTTAAAAAAACAACACATTAATAAGAAAGTTTATTCTCTAAAGGTTTCACTTTAGAAATGTAACAATGACAAAATAATCCTTAAAAAAGTATTGAAAAAAAACATCGAAAAAAGTTTTACTTTAG